AAAAAAAAACCCCACTAACTTTCACTGATTTTACTAATGAAGAGATATCATTCAATTAGTAATCCTATGAGAATGGGGGGAAATAATGTTCTAACTCCAAGATAAGTTCTAGCTTAAAACAAAGGAAACACAAAAAAAGATAATAAAAAATAACGAGTGTGATACTGGAATGAAATGCATTATCAGCAGTATTGTAAATAACAGAATCTCAATCTGATTAAAGGAAGTGATGCTATGCAAAGAAATTTGTGACAACGGGGATAAACATAAAACTCACCTCAGTTTTGGTAAGGACTGTCTCAGAACATAATCAAAGGAAACAAATTTAATATGAAAATGTATATCTTCAGTAACCCATCTTTACTATTTGACTATCTTATTTAAAGAGAAGACCAATATAATGACCTCAATGGGTGCTGAAAAGGAATTTTATAGATACTTCCTTAGAAATGCACACTGAAACCAAAGCTAGTCTAAGATCAAATAGTGCAATATCACAAACATTTTCATTAGGTTAAAAATAAAGACAAAATCCCTACTATTCCCAGAATTACCTAACATTCTTGTGTAATGGAGGAGGAAACTGATAACAAATTATAAAAGATAAATACTACCTGTAAGGTACATATTATCAACCAACTAACAGAAACTACCAGGAAGACAATAAAATATCTGGTTATGAACTTAAAAAACAATACATCTTCAATATGTAAATTATATACCTTGAGAAAATATTATAGAAGAAATATTCCTTTTATAAGAGCAAAGATTTTTGCTTCACAAAAGTTAAATTATCCCAAATAGAAAAAAAATTGTTTGGTTTTCATCAGAATTGGAATGTTGGCTTTTTCCATCTGGAGAAGCTTGTGTTCTCTTTCGAACATAGATTCCACTTTCTCTCTCCTCACATATCTCTATTTCTTTCAATAAAAACCACTTTGCTTTTATTCAAATACAAATCTGTTTAGAATTTAACACAATTATTGTGATGTTTATCCAGATATATAAACATGTGGGAACAACCAAGGAAAATGAGACAACAGTTGACTAGTAGCTATAGGATATTTAAGTACATAATAAAACTAGAATAATTTACATATACAAGAATAGGATCAGTGGCAAAGACTCACCAAAAATGAGAATAGGACCTCTGGAAATAAAGCAGAAGTAAGAGCACTAAAAAGAATCTGAATTTTGGTGGAAGGTTTTTGGTGCTTTGGCAGTAGTGATACAGAAACTTTGTTTCTTTATGTGAGAAGCATAAACATGAACACTATTATAAACAACATTTACCTTAATTTAAAAAAAAATAAACAAAAGGTCAATACTACCAAGAGTCATCAATGTGATCTTCAATGTAAGCTTCAATGTAATCCCTATCAAGATTTAATGACATAGGGAAAATAGGAAAAACCACTCGTAAAATTTATATGGAATCACCAAAGATCCCAAATCAAAGGAATTCAGAGAAAGAACTAGGAGGATTTTCCTCTTATTTCTTTCTATTCTTTCTTTTACTGTATGCATATTAGAAGATGGATTCATTTATTTCAGTTGCCTCTACTGTGGCAATCATTTCTCAACAAAACTAGATTATTTCTTAACAAAACTAGAACAATTTAAAGCAGTTTTCTTGAGCTTGAGAGACTGAACAGTAGACAGGTTTGTGTCCCACCCAGGTATGGTTCCCTCTGAAAATCACTGGGTGCAGCCCTGGTGGCCCCTGAGAAGTCAGCCTAGTTGGCTGAGAATCTCTGAGGGGTGCTGGGGTGCAGGGGTTTGGAAGGGGTGGATTCTACCCCTCCTCAAGGATATATAAGTAGTCTCAAAAAAATTACACATAAAAAACATAGATAAAACCAAGTACAGCAGAAAAGCAGTGAATCCTTTATGATTTAGCCTCAGCAGTTTCTTAGCATCACTGTACTGGACTCAATATTGGCTGAAGCAGTTACACACCAGCCCAGATGGAAGAAGAAACTGAGATCCCCACCTATGAGTCAGACAAGCAGCAGGGAAACTGCAGGAGTCGTCTCACACCACTGGGAACTGTAACTCGTGAAGCATGCAATTCCCTTCGAGGAGTTTATCCTACAGAAGCAAGCAGAATTGTCTACACAAGAGCTTGTTAAAGACTGCTTCTTCAATCTGTAGCAATGCTTCGCAGGTTTAAGTCCTCCTGGAGCCTCTGGGGCCTTGTGAAGTCATACTGCTGGGTTATACCCAGGATTTCTGACTTCAGTACACTGGGGTAGCACTGAAGAACTGGTCCTTTTAAAAAAGATTCTAGCCAAGGTTGATTCTGCTGCTCTGAGGAACAGACATTGACAGACAAAAGTTTATAATATCACTCTCTCGATTATATTATGGCATCTGTTTTCCCATTTCATAGAGAAAATCTGATCTACATATATTACTATGGAAGATGGAAAAAATCCCTGGCCTTGTTAGAATCTGGTAAGTACAGTCATAAGGATCTTTTTTGAGGGAGGGGATTCTTTGGACAACTGAACTTTAAATTTTAACCTTATGACCTTAGGTCTGCAATGCTCAGTAAGATGAATATGGAATCTGAAACTACAAGGCGGATGAGAACCTTAACATCATTCTGTTCCACATGCTGCAGGCAAGAAAACGGGGACCCTTGTGATGTGCACTGGGATAATCCAATCCTCTGGAATCCAAACTAGCACCAAGAAGACCTCTGAAATAGAGGAGAAGCCCAGTCAAGTTTAGGAATTGGAGGAGCATATGGCTGGACCCCCTTGGAGGAGAGGGCCCAGCACAGAGACAAAGACTGTAATACTTTTACAAGGACCCTCAACAATTCTAAGCTGTTGGACCAATGTAGTCAAACCCTACTAATAGAACTGGTGTGTGCAAGACCCCATTCTGGGGGGTGCCCATACCTCTCCCTGAGAGAGGCAACTTCTTTCTTTCACTTTAGGGACCTTTTCCACCTTAGCCATTTGCCCACAGCTCTATCCGGGATGTGTCCTTGGTTCTCTCCACTCTGGAGAAGTCCATGTTCTCTCCTGAACATGTAGCTCTTCTTCTCTCCTCATTTCCCAAAAACCGAATCTGATTTACCCCATTCCTCTGCTTCCTGAAAGTTTTTTCTGAGGGGTAGGCAATTGACCAGAGAAAACCTTGGCAGAGGTAGGATTAGCATTTACTTTCCCTTCAAAGAGCAAATTCCATGCTCCAGTCTGGTGCCCCAGGTCCCCCAAGCAATCAGATCTTCCCGTGCCATGAGGTGGAACTCAGGTACCATCTGATGATGACTGCCTCATGGAGCTGACTGGGTGCAAGGCCTATGCCCCAAGGGTGTGCAAAGCTGACTTTAGCAGGCTAACCTCCCTCACTTCTTCTGTCTGACAAGGTATATGAAGAGGAAGGAGCTACTGCCTCTCTTCTCCCAAAGTCACATAAGTCATCTGGGGCACTATTTCTCCACATAAGGTACATTCCTGGTGAACATCAGAAAGTCATTTCCTTTCTTGAGTACTCCAAGGTCTAGAATGGCCCCATTGCATGTTAACTGGAATCCAAACATGCGATGGGGCAGAGGCTGCTATTATTACTGCCACTATGGTTACTTTTTCCAGGGTATTACTTTTTATCAATACTCAGAAGTCTTAATTTCCTATACAGTATTCTTCTACTGGCTCTGGGTCATGTAAATTAGGAGTTTTCTTTTTTCTTAGAATACTGATATATCTATAAGACACTATAACATAGTGTAGTTTGTGGGGAAGATCCTCAGGCTGAGCCCTTGAGCAATGGGTCTCAGTTACTTGCCCTCAAGTATTACTATTATAAAAACTCTCCTGGCCACTCAAAACCTATATTGCAAACCACAACACCCAAAAGGAGAGAGAGAGCAAAAAGGAATGCCCTACCACAAGAGGCGGGGTGCGGTGGGGGGGTGGGGGAATGGGGCAGAGGTGATGGGAGGGATACTGGGATCGTTGGTGGTGGAGAATGGGCACTGGTGGAGGGATGGTTACTCGATCATTGTATGACTGAAATGTAAGCATGAAAGTTTCTAAGTCTGTAATATACCTCACGGTGATTAATTTAAAAATTTAAAAAAACCATTATATGCAAGAAATCCTAACATTAAGAGTACCATGAAGCATAGTGCCTAAAATAAATATAAATAATAAAACAAAATCACTGATGACAAAAAAAATCTCTTCCACTGTTTCCTTAATGATTCCCAACCCCCTCATCTCATTCTCATGTATACATCCCCAGCCTAGGGCCTCATTTATCCAACAGGAACTTTCTGTGGCAGTCATTTGGGACTATCAGGTTCCTCTAAGTAAGCAGGGCACAGTCTACCCTTCCTTTTCTCTGTTGGAGGAGGTGGCAGGTGGGAGGTGGAGGCCACACCCTATAGAGCTCTGGACTCTCTGTACTTAGAGGTCACTCCCTCTTGTGCCTGGGGGACATGCAGTGCTAGGGACCAAACTTATGCAAGTTTCCCAGATGCAAATTTGTCTGCTCAGCTGTTCCTCTGGGTCTCCTTACTCTTGGATACATGGTACTTCCTCTTCCTAATTATTTCCTCAATCCATCACTTCCCCAGGAATTCTAGTTCCTGTGGGACACATCACTTCCTCCAAAAGGACTTAGAGCTGCTGGGAAAGATGTCAGCATCTTCTGTAGTTCTCGACGCTGGAACTTTGTATATGGGGCCAGGGCTACAGTTCTTGTCTAGGGTCTCTTTTCCTATAAGAGTGGCAGCTCCTTGAGGATGGATCTCAAGTGCAGCTCCATCAAACAGGGCACAGTCTGCTCTGCATGATGCTTTGCAGGAACCAGCAGCTCAGGCAACTTTAGGAGGATACACCTGAGACACGGGCCTGGGAAATGCAAATATGCCTGCATAATGAAGATCAAATTCAAAGGCAGGTAGGAAGCATGAAAGAGAATCATTTCACAATGCAACGGCTGGCATCGAAGGACAGAAAATAAAAGGGAGTGTGTCTTACTTTGAGCTGCAGTCGCACCCTGGCCAAGAAGAATTTCCAACAGTTTTCCCTGGAGTCCACCAGGCCCAGACTGCGAACTTCGTTGCGAATTCCAGAAATGATCTTCTCCTCATCTTCATCACTGAACAGATCCGGGATTTCTCCTGCTCCCCCCAAAAATGAGAAGGATCGCTAAGATATCAGCACAATTAAATTTTGAGATCTGCTTTTCTAAGGCCTGTGGTTCATTCAAAGACAAGGTTCAGCTAAAACGATAAGGCAAGACTTTGAAATCAAAGATGCCATTTATCTTCTTTTTTTTCTTTTGTATTTACAAGACCCACCACACAGCTAGGACGAACATCCCCACTGAAAATCACTTGAGGAGCACGAACTGATTAACAACTCAAGGGAGGAATAACTGAAGGCCCCTCCAACACACTTCACCAAAAGCAGACTCCAAATGCAATACACCTCAAATTGGTAAGGTTTATTGGTTTTTTCCCCAAAGACTGCCCCAGTGAACATCTCAAAGACAAATTATCTCTCTTTAAAGTTCACTGAAACCACAGATAATTTGTCACTGGGGGAAGATATTTCAAGAAATGCGTTGCTTTAATCACCTGATGCCAGCAAGTCATTAATCAGCACGAGGAAGCTCTCATCTAGAACCTGGGCATCTGTCAGCAGGAACACGGTGGGCATGTTCTTGGCTCCCGCTCTGCTGTACAAATTGGCAAGATCCACCTGCAAGGAGAGGCCATCACTCATGGTTTGTTAAAATGCAGGGGCCATGCTGGGGGTGCACGTGTGTGAGTTCTCGGAAGAGCTGAATGACTGTAATTTCAGAGCACTGAGCTGTGCTTTTCCTGTTTGCGTATTCTTTCCTCTCTGTAACCCTGAGAGATAGGCAAATAGCAGGCCAGCAAAGCCATCCCCAGCCTATAAGAATGAGTGTCACCTCTGGGGTTGCATGGAGCTGATCAGAACAGACCATCGAGGCACGAGTCCCTTCTGACAGCTGCAAATATGTCCATTGGTGGAGAAAGTGCAGTGGAGTTTTAGCTCATTTGGACAGTTAGTTTTCACTGAACTCAGTTTTCACTGTCTTTCACTGAAGACAGTTTTTCTTTGGTTCTTACTTACTTTGTTCAATAATACAGAAAATGTGTTGTTTTTTGCCTTTAAAAGAACACTTATGCACAAACTCCAAGTCATGTTTCAGAAATCTTATTGTGACAAAAAACAAAAACAAAAACTAACAGCTTTAAACTCTGTTTCTGGAATGCATTCCCAGTATGCAATAGATTTTCCTAGTCTTGTTAAAGGTGAAAAAAGTTTCTTTGCACCTGTAAAACTGGCTTCTTTCCACCAACTTCCCAACCCCTTCAGAGTGGAATGCTAATCAAGTTGGATAGCAGGCATGATCCATACAAAAAAAAAAGCACATGTGTGTGTAACCAAGGGTATAGTAAAACACTTTCTGGGACTGGTCTGTAGACTTCTAACCCTATAAAAATATTTAGAATTTCATGCTTATTTGACCATGAATGAAATATGGGTAAAGATTGTTGGATCTTCTATGGAGCTCACACCCTGCCTTTCTACCTTGTAGAGTCTTGGGCTGTGTTGGGGACTTAAGAAGGGTGTAGGATCTGGTAAAGCTCACACTTCATCAGCTAATTCCAGGGGAGAAGGCCCTGGATACTCGTCCTCACCCGCAGCTCCTGGATTCCAAAGCCTTCAGTCAGCGTGATCTGAAAGACCTCCAGCCCACACATGGAGGCAGCCAGGCGGGACAGGCTCTGCTTGCCAGAGCCACCCACGCCAATCAACAGCGCGTGGCCTTGTGGGGCCTGCAGGATTCGGCTGATGCGGCACCTAGGAAGAGAGAATAGCTGGCATTCCATCTAGAAACCCCCACACTACATTTGGCCTCTGTCTCAGAGGAATTAGTGGACGCTGAATTCACATTTTGATTCTGAGCCTTGGGTCCTTATTCACGGTTCCTTAAAGATGCTCTTTGCATCTGCCTGGTCAGCCCTAATACCAGCCTTGGCCAACAACATCCGTGACTCCTAGGGCTTTACTCTCCTCCACCAAAGCCCAAGAAGACAAAGACAAGGTCTTCGGACTGTGCGCCTTCTTTGGTGTTTGTAAGACCTAAGCAGTGCTTAGGTCTTACTCCTGACTCTGTGCTCAAGGATTACTCTTGGCAGACTCGGGGTTAGACTAGGTGTGGTGCCAAGGATAGAACCTGGGTTGGCCGCGTGCAATGGCCTAATATCTACTTTTTTGCTTAGTGAGAAAGATTTCAATTCCGCATCAGCAGGAAATGGAGCAGGAAACCTCCTCGGGGCAGGAAAGGGAGAATGACCTTGAGCAGAACTGTAACTGGTAGGCAGTGGGGGAAGGACTGGCCAACAACTCTGTTTGAGATTAACACCTACTTCTTCTTTGTTTCATCCTGCTCTGCTACTAGACTTTTCCACAGGCTCCAAGTCCACTAGAAATTTTACTGAGACCTCTCACAATCACAGATTCAAGCTCCAGTAAGGTCTACACATCTGTTATTTAGCCCCATCTCAGAGACTCTGAATACTTATGCTACTCGCACTTATGCTAATAAGACTACTTGAAACCTTTAGAGTGAGAGTGAACAGACTTCTCTAGGATACCAATATGGGTTTGGAGAAATGTGTTATGATTACAGATAGTAACAAGAAAAACAAAATAGAAGCATAAAAATACCCAAGTGCAAATATTGGACATCCTGTATCTTTTTAATACTGTTTTTCTATACAGTAGTACTCGACACTGCTTTTCTGAAGTGGCTCTAAATATCATGCCCTGAATGATCCTTTTAGTTCCTCTTCTGCTTATGTGTGCATGTTCTTACAAATGTCCATCTGAGCCTCTAAGAGGGAAACTCCAGGAGACCTGGCCTGCCCTGCTGACCAATGCATCCCGCACACCCAGACCAGTGAGGGCTGAACAGGATGTGCACTGCACCAGGCACCCAGCACAGGAGGCGAGAGAAAGCCTTGTTGGCCAGGCCATGCACTAGGACAGGGGCTTCATTCTGAGTGACTGCCAAAAATATATGTCTCCCCCACTGCTGTTTTTCTAGTTTGCACAGTCCTGAATCACTGAGTACAGCACTCAGCAGGACTCAATAAAGCTTCTTAGTCACTGAAAATCAGTTTGGGCCCATCATGTCTCAACCACTTTCCAACATCATGACTTGAACAAATCATTTCTCTTCTTCTCTCTCAATGCTCTGACCTATCTGGGGTAGAGGGAAGGAACATGAAACTCTGGCTAAAATGGTGATACTTGAGACAGTGAACCCTGAGAAGACATTAAAATGGTGAATTAGTCAAGAACAGATGACTGGACTTAAAAAAAACTATGGTATACATAAAATGGAGCACTACTTGGCAATAAAAAAGGTGAAATCATGCAATTTGTTGCTATGTGGATGGATCAAAGTCAGGAGGAGAGGGACCAACACAGAATGCTTGATATAAAGAAACATAATAAGGGAATAACACATGGCCAAAGGTAACAGAACCTAAAAGCTCTGTACAGAACTGAGCTTACCACAGGGGGAGAAGGTGGGTGAAAGTAATCCCTGAGACAATGGTGGAGGAACATGGACACTCTGATGGTGTTGGAATATTGCATCACTGAACCCTACCATTTGCATTATTGTGAAATCATGGTGCCTCAAAAAAATGTCTAAAAAAGAAAAATATCACCAAAAATAGAATCTTGATTATTTTTAAATACTTAATGATATTATGAATTGTAATAAATATACTTGGCTACAACTGGGGATTAGAATAATAATTAAACCAACAGCTGAATGACACTTGGAGTTCTCTTCTGTCTGGCACACAGGAGATGAGTGCTGGCAGCCACCAGGAACTAAGGATGATGCCATGACAACAGCAGTGGATGCCCAGTGGTTTTCACTCTGCCCGAAACATCACTCACACGTGCTGCATGGCATCTTCAAATAAGACCAGGTGCATGGCAGCGTTGAGTTCGTTGTAGTTGTCCAGCATTTCCGTAAGAACTGTCCTCAGTACCTCCCAGTCCTTCACGGGCAGGTACTGAGGGTGTCCTCCACTGCTAGCCAAGTGGCAGTAAATGAGGGGCTGCTGCTGCAGTGTCTCACGGTCTACTCCCTGCAGCAGGAGGAGGAGAAAAACAAGCTCATGTCAGCCACCCCTGATGATGCCCCAAGAGAGAGACAGTCACCAAGTAGCCTGTCGAGGCCCGAGATTATAGTTAGCCCTTGGACAGAGCGGGAGGACACAAGAACCACAGCTGTTTCAGAAAGGTGAACGTTGGCCTAACACATACACGTCTCATCACACTTCTACCCTCAACATACCAGCAGTATCTGAGCCAACGGGGACCTCTGACACTTGTGCACTTACTTCAAAACATTTGCAAGCAGTTTCCAGCAGCTTTTTCTGAAACAAATCACAATCCTTTGTGTCTACCAGTTTGTCTCCGTAAACACGACAAGATTCATGAAGCCAAAGGCGTATTAAATCATGTGGACCCTTCAAACACTCAGGAGAAGCAAATAAAATCCCCTAATAATAAGAACAGGAAAAATCAAAAATTCAGAAACTGACAAGAGTCCAAGAGAATGTTTCTATGGCATGTTCTTTTTTTTTTTTGGAAGGTGAAGGGGGTTGGTTTATTGGGGGTCACACCCTGCATCACTCAGGGCTTACTCCTGGCTCTGCATTCAGGGATCACTCCTGGTAGCTTGGAGAACCATATGGTGTGGGGTTTGTCACAAGCAAAGCAAGCACTTAGCCACTGTACTATCTCTTCAGACCCCTTTAACATGTTCTAAGACTCTGTATGTGATACAGCAGTTTATCAAGTTGAAGGAAATATTGGCACACCGGTGCCTATTGTGTCTATAATGTCTTCTGAAAGCATTAAACTTTCAAAACCCCAAAACAAACAGCTAAGGTGAAAGGCATAGGATTAGTTATGTAAAATCTAAAAGATTCTAGTATCAGTTAGTGCAAACCTCTCATTTCACAGGCAAATATAAGACCCAAAAGTCAACTGCCCAGATTCACGATTGTGGGCAGATCCAGGACCAGTTCTATAATAAACTCAACACAGCCCTAAAATGCTGACTTCATATGGAACCTCTTCCAGGGAGACTCAGCTCACTCAGGACTCAAACAGAATACCAAGGGAGTCCAGAGACTGGGCTATAATGCACACAAGTACGATTTGGAGGTGTTGGGGGGAGCTGACACACTGGGTGTGAGGTGAAAGTCAGGCCTTACACTTCTTACCACCTATGATCGTCCATCTCATTTCTTCTAAGATTAAAAATCTGCTGAAACAATACTTCATGGGTCAGGCAGATATGAAAAATATCGAGAAGGGCCAAAGAGCTATTGTACAAGGAGATAAGGCACTTGTCTTGCATCCGGCCAACCCAGGTTTGATCCCCAATGCCACCTACGGTCCCAAGAGCCAGGAATAAGTCTTGAATACTTCCGGATGTGGCTCCAAAATCAAAAGAAAATAAAAGAAAGAAAGGAAAATAAGTAAAGAAGAAAAAGGTGCACAGTCTTAGGAAACTGTTGACTAGAGCAGCATTGCAGTTGAATATAGGAACGTGGTTTGTAAAAATGCCAAGAAATAAAAATTATCAAATATAAAGACTCCTGAAGTTTTTACTTTATAACAAGTTGGGCACCTTCTTTCTCACAAAAGTAACCCAAGTTAGAAATAATTGTTTAAACTATTTTTACTGGATAAGACAGGTCACACTTTACTATTTATATTTTTAATTTCAGATAAAAAAATTCCCTCTTAGATTTTTTCCCCTAAACCCAAAACATAAATACTGACATTTTGCCGGGTAAATGTGAAGGCCAATGCAAAATAAAATAGAAATTTAAGAAATTGCAATTTCTCTAGATGATAAGTCTTTAAAATTATATAAGCAGGCTCAGAGAAATAGTACAGGGATTAAGGTACTTGCCTTGCAGACAGTTGACCCTGGCTGATCCCTGGTACTGCAAATGGTTTTTAGAGCAGAGCCAGGAGTGACCTGATTTGGGCTGGAGAAATAGTACATCGGGTATTGTGTTTGCACTGCATGCAGTAGATCTGGGTTCAATTCCTGATACTTCATATGGTTCCTTGAGCATTGCCAGGAGTAATTCCTGAGTGCAGAGCCAGGAGTAACCCCTGAGCATCATTGGGTGTGACCCCCCCCAAAAATAGTGACCCCTGGTCACAAAGCCAGGAGTTTGGGGTGTTGCCCAAAGAAAAAACTTTACATAAACACATATTATGAACAATGAATTATTCTTCTTACTTGGCACAAAAAGCCACACAGAAATATTTACATAAAAGAAATAGAGAGTAGAGACTGCCCTGTTTCTCTTGCCAAGCCTCCACACACCTCATTGATTAAACAGTCCTAAGCTTTCATATATGAGTTTATGGTCTAAAAATGAAGATGTACAAATGCATCCTTTTAAGCAGAGATCTAGAAATGAGTGCCCCCATTGTTATAGTCACTCCTCCACTCAAGACAGGGAATTGAGCCAACAAGGTACCTGGAAGATGTTCGTCAGGTCTCTCAGATTAAAGAGGTAGTGAAATTTAACAGCCGTGGGCAAAAAGCTCTGTGTCATCATCTGATGGACCATGATGGTTGCCTGGATCAAAGTAGGGCCACTCCTGAGAACAGAAGGATCAAATGCCTGCTGCTGGAAGTGCAAACTAAGGATCTGGCTGTAGATGGTATTCAGAGCATCCAAGGAGGGGAAGTTGAATGCGAATACAGTAAAGTGTCTCTGAAAAGAGAAACATATAAGCAATGCATAAAGAGGGATTATCAGGGGAGCAGTAGATTGTGAAATAGGGCTGTCTTTCTTTTTTTTTTTTCCTTTGCGCCCCATATCTATGTCCATCACACATCTCTTTTGCAGAGCCTTCTGTGTGGCTGGGGCTTGGCCATCTGGCTTGTCTGCTCCCACAGACTGACAGGAAGTGAGAGAGCACCAGTTACAGCCAGAAGCTTTATTTTCCCACTCACTCTCCTCAGCTTCTCCCGTCACTGTGAATTCTCCAAGTGTGCTGGAACCCAGGAGCGGAGCCGTGTTCTTGCCATCCCACCAGCCACGGACACTTGGGAGCAGCTGAGGGTCAATGACCAGACATGTGAATGGTCTCATGAATGTCAGCAGAATCAACCAGATGAGCCCAATTCCCTCCACATAAACACATACGCAGTGTGTACTATGGTGTGCTGTGGCTGTATGTGTGTTGGGGTGGTTGTTATTATTATTAAAATGCTAAGAACTACACACAGAAATCTGCACATAAATATTTATAGGATATGTCTCTGAGCTGTCAAAACTTGGAAAACAACTATGGTATCCTTTGGTAGATGAATAAACTGTGGTGCAGGCATACGCAGAATATTATTCAGTGATGAAAGGAAATGAGCTATCAAGTCATGAAGAGGAATCAAAAATGCCTGTGTAAGCGAAGTGAAAGAAGCTAATCTAAAAATGCTTCATACGATTCCAACTATATAACATTCTAGAAAAGGCAAACTACGAAGACAGAAAAAGGACTAAGTGGTTGTCACAGAGAGATAAGTGGCTGCCAAAGGATTAAGTTGCCACAGAGTTAAGTGGTTGCTACGGGGGGGGAAAAAGGATTAAGTGGTTGTCACAGGGTGAGGGTGGGAGGGATGGGTTTGTAGAATACCAGATATTTTTAGTGCAGTGAAACTATACTGTATAAAACTTCAGTGGCTAATAGCTGTCACGATAAATTCCACCAAATACAGAGAATGAAGAAATGCTGGACTTTAGTATCAATGGAGGCTCAGCAATAGAACACACGTACCACACTAATGCAAGACATAGGGGGTCTATGGGAGCTCTCTGGACTTTCAGCTAATTTGCTGTAGATCTAAAATTAATCATTTAAAAATCCTATGAATGCTGGGGAAATATTCAAGTGGCAGAGCATGTGCTGGCATGTGCGTGACCCAGAATTACATTTTTGGTCCTACATGGCCACTGGAGCACCAAACCCTCAGGCCCATATCACTGCTGGGCCAGGATCACTGGGAGTGGCTAGTATCCAAACACAAATAGATGAAAGGTCTGTTTGTTACAAAATGTTTAAATGTTTATGTGGGGCTGGAGCCATAGCACAGCGGGTAGGGAGTTTGTCTTACATGTGGCCAACCTGGGTTCGATTCCCAGTATCCCATATGGTCCCCCAAGCACCACCAGGAGTAATTCCTGAGTGCAGAGCCAGGAGTAAGCCCTGAGCATCGCTGGGTGTGACCCCCAAAGCAAAAACAAAACAAAAAAATGTGTATGTGCTTAACCAACATCTGATAGGAGCCCTAATTTGTGCTGAAAAGCACAAATAATCAAGAAATGTGGTACCCAAGTATTCTATTTAGGGAGAATGAAGTTGAGCACGTGCCTCATATGCATGAGACCCTGGGTTCAATCTTTGGAATCACAAGACTGTAGCACTGTAGCACTGTCCTCCCCGTTGTTCATCAATTTGCTTGAGTGGGCACCAGTAACGTCTCACAACAAATTGTGAGACTGGCTGTTACTGTCTCTTGGCATATCGAATATGTCACAGGTAGCTTGCCAGGCTTTGCTGTGTGGGTGAGATACTCTCGGTAGCTTGCCAGGCTCTCCAAGCGAGGCAGAGGAATCAAACCTGGGTTGTCCACGTGTTAGGCAAATGCCTTACCTGCTGTACTATCACACACACACACACACACACACACACACACACACAAAACCCTAAGAAGTGGGTCTTGGGACTCCATGGGTGAAGGGGTGGGGAAATGGAGGGAAAGAGGGAGAAAGAGAGAGAGTGGGAGGAGGGAGAGGGAGAGCGAAAGAGCACAGCACTTAACACCCTACCTGGAGCCGAGGGTTGATGGCAAAACTGCCAACCATGGGATTCATGCAGGCAATGTACTGACAGTTGTGGACTTCCTTAAGCATCACCTTTTGTCTGTCATACCTGCGAGACAGAAGCCAGAACCTTAAGATCCAAACTGGAGATGACTGCACAACAAAAGTTCCTGAAGGGCTTCATCACAAACTGATTCCAATCCTTACAAATACTCAGTGATGTTGAAAGACAAGACGTATAAGGTGAAGCTCAGTCGGTGTGACCCAGGAATCCACTTCTCGGCTTCTTCCCCAAGAGCTCAAATCCACTCTTTCAAAAAGGTACTTGTGTTCCTCTGTTCCTTATAGCTCTATTCACAGTAGCCTAGCTCTGGATTAATTGAGTGTCCAAGAACAGATGATAGAAAAAGAAACTGTGGTACATATATACACAATCGAATACTTCTCAGCTTTAATTTAAAAAAAAGATAAAATCATACAATTTGCAGCTATATGGGGAGACCTAGGAAGTACCATGCTAAGCGAAGTCAGCCAGAGGGAGAGGGACACAGAATGATCCTCTATATGTGGATATGGTGAGGGAATATGAAATACCCAAAGGTAATTGGACCTAGAAGCTGGTCTAGAGAACTGAGCTTTCCAAAGGTAGGGTTGGAGCGATAGTTGTGGGGAAGGGTATTAGGAGGGGATCCTGAGATAATGGTGGAGGGAGAGGACTCTCCTGTGGGTGGGGGTGAGGGGTGGTGTTGGAACCTGTATGTATGAAATCTTGTCATTAGCACTATTATAGATCATGGTACTTCAAATAAAAATAAACTCTAACAAACACACTCAAATAAAAATAAACTCTAACAAACCCTCCCCCAAAGCTCAGACAATTGAAGGCTACTTAATTTCTTCAATGCTAAAATTCAAGACCTGGAATGGAAGATGTTACTGCTTACATACTCTCACTACTTAGTGCTCCTCGGATGACAATTTCTGCAGAGAAATATCCACAGCCAGGTGAGGAGGGCTCGTCTGATGGTTAATGGGGGAGAACTACTGATGGAAGCACCTCAACATTTCAAGGGGCACATCTCACAGAGTCAGGTCATGCTCTTCTACAGTGCTCTGGCATAAGTTAATGCCTACAGTGTCCATGATTTGGGGTAATTTGTTTTTCTAAGACCTACTTCAACCCAATGCTTTGAAGACACAGTGGGAAATTATTCCACTATTCCACTGATGGAGATGGATGCAAAATGAAACCCAAATTTATAACAGAAAATGTGTCTCCTCAGAAGAAGTCAAGGGCAAATTTGTTTTGTTTTGGTTTTTGCTTGGGGGCCACATCTGGCAATGCTCAGAGGGTTACTCCTGACTCTGCACTCAGAAATCACTCCTGGTGGTGCTTGAGAGATTGGGATGCTAAGGGATCAAATCCCAGGTCAGCTGTGTGCAAGGCAAACACCCTACCCCCTGTACTATCACTCCGGCCCCAAAAGCAATTCCATTATTAAACTCCTCTTGGTGGTGATGATGATGATGACATTTCAGAGGGGAATAAAAGGCAGAGACTTACTCACCAGTGTCCGTAATCAATATGCTGCCGAATCAGCGTGTGGGGCTGAACGGAGCCATAGACATCCACTTCAGGCATGTTCATGTCATCAATAAAATACACCAATTTTTTATTTCCTCCCGGGCCGTAGTTACGACCAGCTTTTTTCTCCAGAGGTTTCTCAAGAATTCCTGAAGCAAATATGTAACTGTGGTCTCCAATCACAGGCAAAATGTAAACCATCAGTGCTTAATCCTTTCCCCAAATTTGTCCTGCTAGTTCCTCTACTTTAAGTATCACATCTGGGCAGGCTATTGCCCAGAGATGCTTCCCTGCCCACCTCTCCATCATGCTCCCATGCCAGTCTCCCTCCTAGGAGGAGGCATCACCAGGTGTGAGAGATTCAGTCACTAAGGTGGAGCACTTTCCTCCCCTTGACCCACTTTAACACCTGGGCTCCTCCAGGCAGGCCATAGGCTGCTCCCTCAGACCTTGTCTCCAGGCCCTCACAGAAGCATCCAGAAAGCTAAAAAGTATCTCTGAAAGTTCTCACATCTCTCTTTTTGGATCACCAGATCAGAATTGTGAGACGTGGGGCTGGAGCGATAGCACAGTGGGTAGGGCATTTGCCTTGCACGTGGCCGACCCAGATTCGATTCCCAGCATCCCATATGGTCCCCCGAGCACCTCCAGAAATAATTCCTGAGTGCATGAGCCAGGAGTATCACCTGTGCATTGCTGGGTGTGACCCAAAAAGCTAAAAGGGAAAAAAAAGAAAGAAAAAAGAAATGTGAAACGTGTGGATGTGTGGAGATATAGCTGCCTGTGTCTGCACCGTGGAACATTTCATCTTGGGCCCATATGACTTTGGAAGGTAAATTTGATGAAGAAAAAGATTTCAGAGAGAGCACTCGTGGATGAGCTCATGAGGGCTGTAAGAAACTGTTAGTTGTCTCCACTGATAGAGTTAAGGAAACAATGAACAACGCAGTCCCACACTCTCATGACTCAGAAAGCATGCTCAGACAACATAGCATGCGCTGCGGTTATTAATGTTGTTTTGTTAATGGCCACACCCAGCAGCACTCAGACGTCATTCCTGGTAGTGTCTGAGGAACTCTGTGTGGTTCTGGGGATCACACTGAAGTTGGTCACCTGCAAGGCAAGCATCTTCTCCACTGTACAATCTCTTCCGACTGTATATAAGTTTCTGATTTCGCTTCTGGAACATAATGTAGAGAAGCACTCACTTTGCAGAGCTGCAGACGTTGTGTAGTAGTTGAAAGGCACACGAGACACGATGTAATCCTCAGAGAGCTTTGCCAATGTGTCCCCCACAAAAATGGTTTTCCCCACCCCAGCGTTTCCGACCAGCATGAGGGGTTGTCTTTTCTTGAGCAACAACTCAATGAAATACCGAAGCCGGGTTGTCTCTGAAGTGTGGACCAGGAGTCTCTGTGTGGGATAAAATAGAGTGGACACAGCTCAGAGAGGCATTCTGGCATTTCATATCTGAAACCACAGTGCCACTTCAGCACCTCAAAGAATCCTGAACTCAGTGTCTCACCCACGATCTCAACTAATTTTCTTTTATTCTTTTTTTTCAAAAAATGGTTATAGGATTCACCAGCAGTGTTTGGTGGTTACACCTGAAGAGCAGCAAAGGGATCAGATCTGGGAGTGGGGGTGGGGGTGGCATGTGGTGTTGGAGACCGAACCAGGATCTCTTGCATGTAGTCAACACATGCTGGCACTCTGAGCCAACTCTCTGGGCTCTCATTTGCATTTCTAAATCATCAGTTCTCAAGCATCACAGCTTGCAGAGAGAGCAATTGGGAAGGGATGTCATAGTTTTAGCTCATAGACAGCAGATTTACTTTGCTTAAGCTGAGTTCTAGCACCTTAGTACAAGGTGCTACTCCCCCACTTTTTGCATTTTGGGTCACACCTGGTGATGCACAGGGGTTAATCCTGGCTCATGCACTCAGGAATTACTTCTGGTGGTGCACGGGAGACCATATGGGATGCTGGGAATCTCACCCGGCTCAGCCTCATGCAAGGCAAACACCCTACCTGCTGTGCTATTGCTCCAGCCCCAAGGCGCCCTATTTTGGAATAGATATTTGCCCTCTTCTGACTTGTATTCTTGTACACAAGAGAACATGGTAGGTAAAGAAGAAATTGCCCACCACTCTTTAGACCCCCAACAGAAATCCAGCCGTACATGAAAACTGGTAGCAAAGCCTGGGTCTGTAAAGGGCCAGACAGATAGCACAGTGGGTAAGGCACTTATCTAGCATGCAGCTAACCCCAGGTTGGATCTCCAGCACCACATTTGATTCCCAGAGACAGAGCCAGAAGTCACCCTCAGTACTGTTGAGTGTGTCCCCTTGGCAAAATTTAAGTGGTAAATGATATGCTAAAGGAATTGAACACAAGGAGACAGCAGTTCAGGGGAACAGTGGCTTTTATTCCTGTGATATAGAAAAAAACTCAAAAGTATGCTTTAAACTTAATGTGAACTGTTTTGTTAAAAATTTCTATGACAACACTGCTGTTCTGAAAAACAGGCTACTTAATGAGACACTATGTATGCATGTGTTTTTGAGTCACACCCATTGGTGCTCAGGGTTTGCTCTAGCTCTGCTCATGGGGGCTTTATGAGGTGCTGGGGAATATACCTAGGTTAGCCTTAGCTGCTGTACCCTCTGGATATCACAGTTCTCACGTAGAATTTGATATGGTTTACAGGAACAAATGGAATGAAATAGAAATTACACTCAGCAGACAAGCACTCAAATATAAGTTTAGGCCAAGGGAGTGATAGAGCGAAGCATGCAGGACACAGAACCCTGCAGTGACTAAAAGTGACCAACAGCTTGCATTTATTGAGGGCCAACTTGTAAAGAGCATGAAGAATTCCTTACAGGTGGCCCAGGGACATGGCTCCATGGTAGAGTGTCTGCTTTGCAGGCCTGAGGCCAAGAATCTGATCCCTGCCATGGTCCCCCACTGCTGGGGGCAAGCCCAGGTGAACAGCAACCATGAGTGTGACTCCATGATCACTGCAACTAAATGTGCAAACTCCGGACACAGCAACATGGCCACAACAAAGGAGGGGAAGGGGCAAAACTCGCTGCAAGGTGCACACCTTTCCCAAGACAAAGAGCTAAATTCTACAATGACTAAAATTCTTCTGTACTTAGGGAGTACATGCTGACAACACCTGAGTATTTTGTATTTGCTCCTGTTACTTGGCCCCACACTGGGCTGAGGGTGGGCTGGGGTGGTCCCTGGCAAATGAGAAGCAGGAAGAGTTCTTCTTTGGGACCTTGAAAAGATCAGGGTGGTCTGCAAGGCCCTGAGCTTGACCCCAGTACTTCACGGCCTCAGCACATTGGGGTATCCCCCACAACCAGCAACCGCAACAACATTAAAACAGAAATGTTTTCATAAAATTCACAGTTCCCAGGAAATTATGAACAAAACTGTTACCTCAAAATTGTTAAAAAAAAAAAACATAAGTTTGCAGACAGAAAAATTGACTAATCACTGTATAAGTAAAATTTTTCTTTGCCAAGAAAGATGTTACATGCTAAAGGTATCTATCAACACAGTGACTGATGCACTGGGAAGGACATTAAAATATTTTGGGAGGAAATTTATATTTCTGTTCTCCCATAAAAGGGAGAGGGAGGTTCAGAACAAGACTGTGACCCAACACCCCCAAACTCACACCTACCTGCAGGGGCACATCTGGATCCACAGTCAGCTGTGGAATTTTATCAGTCCAAGGCAAGAATTTCTTTGTTTTGTGATCCAGATAATAATCGAAGATGGTTCCCTGGGATGGAAACTTTACTGTTCTCATTTCCTTATGCCACCACTGGCTGAATTCAGCCTGATAACCAGAAAGCTGAGGAGGACAAGAGAAATCCTTATTGTAGACACAAGGGTCATTTTGAAGACCTTCAAAGCCTGATCCTGCTCAATGCACTTGGCACGTCCGCGGTTATAACTATAGATGGGAGCAAGCAACTGACTCAGAAAAATAAACAAAAGTCACGCGTGATTATGTCAGAGTGGCAGAAAGCTGTAATATCCATCATTTTCTGGAATAATTACTAAGTCTGATAAGCATGGGAAGGTTAGGTTACCCTCAGATTACCCTTGCTTATTGCCTTAGACCTTAGATTCCCCTGGCTAATTCAATTTAGTAACGAATTATCAAGCAAATTATAAGGCTAGGAACATACTCGGCTTCATTACAACAGAAATCAAACAGCAGATGCCGATTTCTGCCAATGTTTGTATCAAGGGAGGATTCAAGGAGGAAAGTAAGATCCTTCCAAAAATCAATAACTTTATTTGAATTAAATACTGCCGCTTATTCTGAATTTATAGCATGCCTGAGCACTTTGATATAATCCTTTGCCTTATAAAAACCATAGCAATAAAAAAAATGGTTGTTTGCACAAACGTCCTTGTTTAGGAAAGCATACACCAACCTGACTTCATTCCTTCAAGTCACGACTAAAATGCTGTTGGTCTTCGGAGTTCTAAACCCACCACGAAGAAGGGAGAAAGAGGGAAGCAGCTCAACTTGGTGCTCTGCCACCAAGAACGGCATTTCTGGAAAAGCCCAAGAGTTCAATTCCTGCCACCCAGGGGCCCTCACCAGTGTGAGAGGATGGGAGGGAAGAGAATCTCTTCTATGGAAAGCGTTTTGTTTCTGGGTAAGATGATAGGAACAGGTTCGGGTTGGGAACGCACAGGCAGGGGAATGGTGACTAGGCACCAGCACCTTAACAACCCCCTAACGCCAGCAATGACCCGACACAGTGCCTCTGACAGCCAAAGTTCATTGGCCCCGGGCGTTCCTGAGAGCTCTTCTCCTGTGAGTCCATGGTGCACTCAGCCACCACATTCTGACCCAACAGCACTGCCCTCCTTTGACTTCAGGGAAATAGCTCATACCTGCTTTGCCTGGACTGTCCTTTGGTCCTTGGCTGTGGCTGAGCACACACAAGGAGGAGGGACTAGGGGGACAGAGAAGATGGATCAGTTCTACCCCTGTCCAAACTGCTCTGCATGGGCCACTCAGGTGGGAATGGAGACAAGGTCACTTTGTTATTTACAGATCTGGGGACTGGGATAGTTTCTCACCCTAGAAAAGTTGGCCTTGGCCTTCGTTCAGAAACTTTAATTAGCGGGTGCCCTGCCCGGCTCAAAATACAGCTCACTTCTAATTTACATCTAAAATTGTCTCACCTGACCACCACTTCAGCCAAATCGAAGAGTAAGTGATTCACTATTTCAAATAAAATGGATCTGTTTGGCAACTGGGACAAGAATCAGTAGGATGTTGACCCACACAGAGTTTTGGGGGAATCTAGATGGAAAAACTAGGGAAGGATGAGAAAAGAGGGGGTTAAGTCAGTAAATGTAGGTACTTGGAAAATAAAGTCTGCATGGAGTGAGAGTAACTGGAATGAATCCATTTTATTTGGAAGTTCAGAATGTCTATCTTTGAGGAGACCATCCAGGAAGCAGGATGCAACCAGCATGTGCAAAGGCCCTGATGTATTATGGAACTTGTCACATTCTAGAGAGTAGTATATGCAGCTGGTGGGGTAAGATGGGAGGAAGTAAATGAAGAATGAGACAGAGATAGGCAGGACAAAATCTAGAAATAGGACCTAGAAAAAGGACTAAAATTAAAAAAAAATTTTTTCTTTTGTAACAGAAGGGACCTTGATCAACCTTAAAGGAGATACCAGGTAGCATTTTATGTTTTTCTCTCTCTACCATGTGAGAACACAGCAAAAAGCTGTTCACCAGCCAGAAAGAGGGCCCTTGGCAGAACACAAGTACACTGGGAACCTCGGAACTTGCAGCTTTCTAAGATAAGTCAAGACTTGGGTTAGCCACCAGTGGACAGTACTAATTTATGGCAGCCTGCCCCCACGTCATCGAAAGATGAGTTATACTAGAACCAAGGCTGTAGGGACAAGAAAGAGTGGCAGACTGACCACCATTTCAAAACTGATACTGAAAGGTTCTGAAGACCAATGAGTGTACAAGCTAGGCTTGTAATCACAAAATAAATGAGTGGGTGGCATCACTCTCTTGCCTGCCACATGAGTTCAGTGGCCATGAGCCACCTCCCCACCCTGGCCTGCAGCCGTTGCCCACAGATGCATGAAGGAGGGAATAGGACTGCCAGGCTGGTTGGTGATCAGTTGCCATTTATTCCAATCTCGACTCCTCTGCCTCCTTCCAGTCTCTCCCACTCCCTTATTCCTCCTGTCCCTCAGCCTCCTCTTTCAGAGCTCCATCTCTGCAGCCTTAGTCTAGAGCCCAACCTCCCAAAAATTGAGGGACCAACTACCCCTAGGTGAGGTAGCACAATCAACATATGTAAAGCCCTTCCCTTCTTTCCAGGGAAGCTCTTCTAAGATAAAGATCTGCTAGGAGATCCACTCAAGGGCATGTTTTTTTTTAAATCTAAGGACTTGCTTCTCCTTTCCTTATTCCATAAACAATCATTTTAGATTTACTTCTTAATAATCTTTCTGGTGATTTTGTATGGACACAGTAAGAGATATATCAATAAGTAATAAGAGGACACAATAAGAGATATATCAATCTTGCAGGGTGGCTCTCCTGGGGACATCTCAGATCCCAGACCCTAGTGATCAGGCCTAATAGTTCTTTCCTAACCCTAGCAGTGTCCTTATCCAGTTGTTACTCTTTGGATCATGCTATCATTTGTCCATGACCGTGCTCTTAATTTACAGTTAAGTATTATGGCACTTGGCCTGTGCTATTTCAATGTCAGGGTAGCATCACAGCTTGCTCATCCATTCCTTTCATTGGGACCCTGACTTTGGGGTGCTAGGAACTAAAGACAATTGAGGCTTAAGTCGAGTAAATATGACAGATGCCCAGAAGTTATTCAGAGTCAATTAACTCCCAAGTTACAAAACCATAGCAAAACTGTCTTTCTGTGTCTATACAAAAAGCACATTGCTCTAAAGTAAGCTATGCAAAGGACAGAAGGAAAAGAGAAAACTGGTATTTCACTCACAAATACAAATCCAGAGATCTCTGAAGACTTTGACTTTACACATCACTTTACAAGTCACTGCTTAGGGGAAATGAGTGATTAACAGATAGAGAAGGCAGAGCACAGAGAAGTTAAAAGTGAATATCGAGGAGAAAATGGGAATGATTCTGGAGTGCTTCGGAAGTACTGTGATGGGTATTAGCGTGTGTGTGTGTGTGTGTGTGTGCACGCACGTGTGTATGTGTGTGTGTGTATGTGTGCACGCGCGCGTGCTGGAGGCTATGGATTTGGTACTACCCATGAGGTGAGCACTGAGGGAAGGATGAACCTGCCTAAAGAGTGGACAGACTTCTGAGAGACTAAGGAAAGTGGGAAGGACTTTTAGATAACAGAATGAGATCCCCAGAACGGCATATGAGATGCTACTCCCACCCCCAATGGAACAGGCTCTGTACACGTTTCCTAAACATACCTGATCTTGTGGCAGGGTGCCCCCGAATGCCCAGATACAAGCAAAGACAAAATAGACTTCATACACTTCTTTGGGGCTGTCAGAAGGAATATTTTCTGGCGTCAGCAGGCACTCAAGAAGAACACAAATAGTCTGAAGAGAAAGAAATTGTCATCAAGGGCAAAAATGTAAAAATCCTATAGTAAGCTGACAGGACCTTGTAAAAATAAATCTGCTTAATCAAGAGATTCTACACTTCCTTCACCTCTATAATGTGCCACATGGGGAGAGACACAAATTACTAAGTCACTGGTGGAAGATCACCCACCAAACGGATCTTCTAAGAAATTTAAAAAAATAAAATATTTTTAAAAAAGCCTAAAGTCAGAATGATCTGATTCCCAATACTGTAATAAATACATAAAGCCACAAGACAAAATGGTGAATATATATTGGTTCCTTCTTTATGCATACAAGACTATAAGTCAGACTGACAGTCTGAGCCTGGATCATTTTGGGGAAGGTAGAGGATAGCAGGCCAAATTTAATCTTAGAAAAACACAGTTCAGAATCTTGTTCTTCATCTCTGGCAGGCAAAATAGCAATGTGCTGGGCTGCTTCCCCAAGCAGCCTGTGTTCAGGGTGCTGGGGTCAGTGATGAGGGGAGTGTGGCCGCCACAAGTTTCTTTCCTGTGTGAAAGCTTTGAGTTAGTTCTCATTCAGTGTTTCTCAAGGGCCCCTTCCAGCCTGGTTTCCTTCCTGTGGCCCACCTCCTATGGGTCACTCCTCTAGCCTCATGTTATGGCCCCTATTTTGTGTGATTTTCACCTGTGGTCTCACTGTAATGTCCTGGGCACCAGTGAAGTCTGAGAAATGCTGCTCTGAAGGACAGAACTGTGGCATCAGCAATGGCACAGATCCATAGAATGCCTGCTCCAGTTCCCTTCGTGTTTAGAGGAGTAGCTGATTTGCATCGACCTCATGGACACTTAAGAATTCAAGTCCGCAGTGGGTAGGGCCTTGCACGTGGTGAACCAGGGTTCGATTCCCAGCATACCATATGGTCCCCCAAGCACCACCAGGAGTAATTCCTGAGTGCAGGGCCAGGAGTAAACCCTGAGCATTGCTGGCTGTGACCCAAAAAGCCAAAAAAAAAAAAAAAAAGAATGCAAGTCCGGCCTGTGTGTGCACTGCCCCCTCTCAGCTGGGAAAAATGGGGCAAACTCATGGCAAAGGGCACCAGGGAGGTCCTAAAAGTCATTTGAAAATGCTTGTGAATACTTGGACGGCTGTTATACTTTTTAAACTTCTCTCTTGATTTCTATTATGTTAAATTGTGCAATGTTTGCTAATGGATGATCATCTACTAAAGCTGTTATGAAACAAAATCTATTTGTTATCAAGAAAAGTAAAGTAGAACCCATAGGCTTACCCATTAGTATAAAGAACTGTTAAAATCACAATGGAGAGGTGAAAAAAGGGTACAATGTCTCAGTGTGGCATTACCTATAGATCTGAGTGTCCTAACAGTTTAAACTATGGTTCTATTTGCTCTCAGAAAAGGTATTTGAGAAACATTCTGAGTTATGTCAATAATTCATAAAATTTAGTGCATACTCTGAAGGAGTTAATACATCTTACCAAGTTTAAAGAAGGTTCATACACTGGAAAACATAGTCATTACTTTCTTAAAGAGCCATTTAAAACCATTCTCATTTGTTCCCATTTTTTGTCTCAAATTTTGTCCTTGCAAAGCAATCATAGAAAGGCACTCTATTGAAAAACAGCTAAAAAGGAGTTAAGGACAAAATGCCTTTTCTGAGTACTACAAAAGAAGAAAATGAGAGTAAAAGTCATATTAATTCCTACTGACCTATTTTCACACTACTCTTGAATGAAAAAGTTCACACCAGAGAGAATCACACAAATACACAAGTCAACTTGAGAAAGAATATGATCATGCTTTTTACAAGTATTACACCAGAGGAAGTCTAATTAGACTAACCACATAATTAATTCATTATGAATAAATTCAGACCTGCTTTCAGAAATAAATTATACCTCAGATAATTACTGTTGAAGACTATCGTTTACTTAATTGGTGTGTGAATTATCCAAAAACCTGAACTTTCTCTTATTATGCTTTTGACTATGTCTAATTTAGCTTCACACAAATTTGGTAACATAGAAAGTTAATGGTAACAAAGTACTTAGAAACCTATTTTACTCCTATAGGGAACACACACACACACACACACACACACACACACACACACACAGCTTCTAATTGCAAACCTTTTCTGAAGTTTTATACTTGTAGAGGCTGGGCATAGTTTTCCTTCCTGCTAAGATTAAGATCATAGCTTCCATCTCTATGTACTATGAATTATTTTCACTCACTTCCATAGCAACGTGTCATATATGCTCCTCACTCTATCCAGCTGTTTCCCAACGAGGGTCAGGAGAAAAACTTGTGTCCCTAAAAAATTGTGAACTCTGCTTCTACATTGCCCTAACTTCAACAATTTCTTTTTTCTCTAAGAGGGAATAAGGAAAAGAGAAGAGGCTGGTGGGATTGAGGGAGAAGAGAGTTGCAGGGACGGCATGGGGCAGACGGGGGGGGGGGGGTTGGTTAGGAAGTATGGTGTAGAATAAAAAAAATGCTTTTTTTAACTCATTGGCTAAGCTCTTGGATTACATTAATTCATAGTATTCAGAAAGCCCGTCTGGGCTAGATCCTCAGGACATAGGGAAAAAAACAAGGCTTTCTTCCAATTATGTGGTGGAGGAAGCAATGATTCTGTGGACATGAACTTGGTCCCTACAACACACTAGGAAAATGAGGGGTCACTTGTGGCAGGAAAACATACAAAGCCTGACTTCAGTCCTCCAGGTTTTAGTCCTGTGAGTGAGAGAAACTAACCATGACCGCAGTGGTCAGAGAATGTGCTAAGTGACTCCTGGAGGCTTCGGGTTTTACAAATACAAAGGAGCACCGGGGAACACTCGGAAGCAGAGAGCCATGGAAGAGGGTTAGAGCAATCTGGGAACTTGGAAACATCTCCATCTTTTGGATCGAGGAGCACTAGCCAGTCCCTGCCACACCACCACTGCAGTAGACAAAGATGCTCATGCGTATCACAGAAGGCAAACCTGCACCAGGCTGGTCTCTGGAATCGAAGTGATGGTCTTAAAGCTTGTCCGCAGTTTCTCCAAGCAGGCAGGAACATATTTGTCAAAGAGAATAGTTAAATTGGCCTTTTCTGACTGGTGCCGTCGTCTGTCTATCCAACTGGCCACATACCTATAAAAAAAGAACCCAGAAAAGTTCTCCTCCCCACTTTGAGATAGAGCTCAGGGGTAACATTTCAGGGACATATTTAGCAAATTCATGCTACTTCTCAAACAGCAAATATTTCTAAAGCAACCACAAAAATGCTTTTTCTCGACCTTTTGTTGCCTTCATGAAAATAATGTACAAGAAACTCCAAATAGCACTTACAAGATAAGCATAATCGAGTGAGTGTAAGAAGGCCATTAGAAAGAAATGCAGCTTGTCATTTCCAAAAGGACAGAAGTTATTTTCATAGGACAGACCTTGTACATGAAAATGGCCCTGGACTGTTTTTGAATTATCTTGCATAAGTCACTTTTTAATGGAAAATCCACTGCAAATTAAAAGGTGAAAAGTATCAGAGCTATTCCAAAGTTCTTCCTCTCTTCTGCGGCAGACACAACCTTAACGTAAATGTAATGCCGTGTCTCCAATAAATGGCTCTGATATGGCATCTCATCCAGCCCCAGGTATATTGTTCTGCAGCTTGCTTTGACATGTTAGCATATCTAACACATGCTAAAGATAATACTGATCAATAAAGTTAAATGAAAAAATATGATTTAGCAGGACTCACGGTGGTTTCTGGGAGGGGTGGAAGGCTGTATACGCATGATAAGAAATGAAAAGTAATCTCTTAGGGTTGGAGAGAGAGTACCATGGGCTGGGCACTTGCCTTGCATGCAACTGACCTAACTTTCAATCCCTGGCACCACAGATGGTCTGCTGAGCCCTGGCAGGAGTGATCCATGAATACAGAGCCAGGTGTAAGCCCTGGGGACCACTAGGTGTGAACTCAAAACAAAACATACACACACAACACAATTAATGGCTCAGAAATTCTCATCCAAGAAGGGAACTGTGACAAAAAAATACATTTCAGGGGAGCAGAACAGCAGAGAGAGCTGTACACCCATGACAGCTAATGCCTTGCTCTAAGAAAGTCAGAATATGCACTGGAATAATGGATGAACTAGAGGACAGATGATGATCTTACAGAAGGTTCCCCTTGTGTTTTTATTTTCTTTTATTTTTTGCTTTTTGGGTCACACCCAGTAATGCACAGGGGTTACTCCTGGCTCTATGCTCAGGAATTACCCCTGGCCATCGGTGTTCAGGGGACCATATGGGATGCTGTTAATCGAACCCGGGTCGGCCGCGTGCAAGGCAAACTCCCTACCTGCTGTGCTATTGCTCCAGCCCCAGTAGCCATTCTATTGTTGAGGGCACACACTGAGTTTTTATTTAATCTATTGAATCCTTTATTTGTGACACTTCTGTGCATAGCTTTCCTATTTCTGCTCTCATTTATTCCTGTATTTTCTCGATTGTCTGATCTATTGTTTCTTGCCCTTTTTTAATTTACTGGATATCTTTTCCACTGCTTCTCTGAGTTCATTGAATATCTTCATCACTTTATCTCTGAATTCTTTACCAGAGAACTCACATTTGTGAGTAATGCCTACTGAGGCTTCTGAACTCTTTTCATCGTCCTCTCCTCGTGGTGGGAATTTGTGCTGTTTCTTTATGTTGTGGTAGTGGTATGGAGACTGAGATGTGACACCAGATTGCTGGGTATGGAGAAGGTTCCTCTTGACTGTCACAAGGCTTCACAAGAGTGTTTACTAAAGCTTCACTCTCCTTTCACACTCTCAACTGTGGAAACATCAACTGTTTTTGGTTTAAGAGGAAAGGGTATCAGCTGAAGTCCAGCTTTGGGATAGAAACTTGGGTTCTCCCTTTGGTGTTGGGTGGATCAGTCATAGGAGAGGTGGTTCTGGAACCCAGAGTGACACCACAGCTACTGACTAGAGTGCACATTCACTGTCAGAAGTGGGATCCAAATAAGAGTTCTAAGACTACTGTCAGGGGGAAAACATCCAAGAGAAGTTAGAGAGATGAGATATCATTTCACATCACAGAGACTAGCCCACATCCAAAAGAACAAAAGCAACTGGTATTGGCATGGATGTGGCGAGAAAAGGACCCTCCTTCACTGCTGGTGGGAATGCTGACTGGTTCAGCCCTTTTGGAAAACAGTATGGATGATTCTCCAAATATCAGAAATTGAGCTCCCTTTTGACCCAGCTATACCACTCCTGGGAAAATATCCCAGAGAGGCAAAAAAGTAAAGTTGAAGTGACATCTTCACTTGTTTGTTCATTGCAGCACTCTTTACAATAGCCAGAATCTGAAAAAAACCTGAGTGGCCGAGAACAGATGACTGGTTAAAGAAACTTTGGTACATCTACAAAATGGAGTACTATGTAGCTGTTAGAAAAGATGAAGTCATGAAATTTACATACAAGTGGTACTACATGGAAAGTATCATGTTAAGCAAAATGAGTCAGAAAGAGAGGGATAGACATAGAAAGATTGCATTCATCTGGGGAATATAAAGTAACAAAATATGAGACTAACACCCAAGAATAGCTGAGATTAGTACCAGGAGGTTTACTCCACGGCTTGGAGGCCAGCCACACTTGCTAGGGGAAAAGGGAGCTCAGATAGAGAAGGGAACACCAAATAAAGGGTATTGGGAGGATCCTCCCAGAATGAGAGAAGCATGCTGAAAGTAGAATATAGACCAAACATGATTGCCACTCAATGCCTCTTTTGTAAACCACAACAACCAAAAGGAGAGAGAGAACAGGGGGGAATGCCCTGCTACAGAGGCAGGGTAGGGTGGGGGGATGGGGACTGGGAGGGATACTGGGACCTGTGGTGGTGGAAAATGGGCACTGGTGGAGGGATGGGTATTTGATCATTGTATAATTGAACCCAAGCACAAAAATTTATAAGTCTACAACTGTACCTCATGGTGTTTCACTAATAAAAATTAAATAAAAAAATAAATAAAAAGGCAGGAGTGATGGCCAGGAGCTGTGTACAAAAACAAAAAAAAAGAAAAGATGAAGTCATGAAATTTACATACAAGTGGTCTGTCTGTCTGCCCACCCGTTGCTCATCGATTTGCTTCAGCAGGCCCAGTAATGTCTCCATTGTGAGACCTCTTGATACTGTGTTTGGCATACTGAATACTCTCGGTAGCTTGCCAGGCCCTCCAAGAGGGGCGGAGGAATCGAACCCGGCTCGGCTGGGCTGGCTGCATGCAAGGCAAATGCCCTACTGCTGTGCTATCACTCCAGCCTTAAGCTGAGCGAAATGTGTCAGAAAGAGTCCAGCACTTAAGCGAAATTAGTCAGAAAGAGAGGGACATAGAAAGACTGCATTCATATGGGGAACATAAAGTAACAAAATAGGAGACTTAACACCCAAGAATAGCTGAGATAAGTACCAGGAGGTTTACTCCATGGCTTGGAGGCCAGTCACACATGCTAGGGGGAAAGACAGCTCAGACAGAGAAGGGAACACCAAATAAAGGTGTTGGAACGATCCTCCCAGGATGGGAGATGCATGCTGAAAGTGGACTATGGACCAAACATGATTGCCACTCAATGCAAACCACAGCACCCAAAAGGAGAGAACAAAGGGGAATGCCTTGCCACAGAGGCAAGGTGGAATGGGGGGAATGGGGGGTGAGAGGGATTCTGGGATCAGTGGTGGTGGAAAATGGGCACTGGTGGAGGGATGGGTACTCGATCATTGTATAATCAAAACCCAATCACAAAAATTTGTAAGTCTACAACTATACATCATGGTGTTTCACTAATAAAAATTTTTTTAAAGGGGAAAAAAGAGAAGTTAGAGAGATAAAACAGCAAGTAAGGTGCTTGCCACTGCATAAGGCTGAGCTGGGTTCTATCACTGGCACCCCTTATGGTCCCATAAGCAACACTAGGAGTGACCCCTGAGCACAGAGCTAGGAATAAGGCCTGAGTAGCAGAGGGTGTAGCCCCCCTAATCAAAATCAAACCAACTAACTAAAGTTCCCAAGAGGCTCACCCAGGAAGATGCTGAGTCAAGCTGCCTAGACAATGCAATCACAGTCCTCCTTAGGGAACTCTGTTACCTTTGGGCAGGTGACTTTAGTTCCTGTGTGTGTTACTCATAGTCCGTGCAAAGGATAATCATATGGCCTACATAAGGTTGCTCTGAGGGCTGATTGAGTTCTCCTGGCTAAGTGCTTAGACTAACATCTGTCCTAACAAATTCAGTAAAAGTTACTCGTCTGCACCAAGTGGGTGGAATTGAGAACTGGGTTCCACTCCTGGCTCTGCTTCTTGGCGCTTCTCCTAAAGGCAGTCATTCTCTGGAAGGTCACGAGTTGGCAGTTAGTACTCTACAGGGTGTAATGAATTCCTCCTCTACCTTCTGGCAAAGTTTTCTGAACTCTGTGGACATAAGTAACCACACAGGAATAATGAGGAACGACAGCCAGAACTTAGTCCAAGAGGAGGTAGGGGCTTTGATTTCAAGAGCCAGAGAATAGCCACTTTGTTGAGCCATACTGGCAACAGTCAAAACCTGGAAAAGAAAACCGACTAGGTCCACAGGCGCATGATGCTAATTACCTCCCACACAACAGCGATTCCTTCAGCAAGGAGGGACGTTCAATCATACTGGGTTGCCCTGTTAATAAAAATGAATAAGCTAGGGGTCAACTGTATGCTGTAGCTTAGGGAGTACAGTACCCATGCAAATATGTAGCACTGTAGCACTGTTGTCCATTGTTCATCTATTTGCTCAAGTGGGCACCAGTAACATCTCCATTCGCTCCTCTCTTCTTGCTCCAGGAACACGAAGTGAGACTTGTTGTTACTGTTTTTGGCATATCGAAAATGCCATGGGGCACTTGCCAGGCTCTGCCGTGTGGGCGGAATACTCTTGGTAGCTTGCTGGACTCTTCGAGAGGGATGGAAGAATCGAACCTGGGTGAGCTGCGTGCACAGCAAACGCCCTACCTGCTGTGCTATCGCTCCAGCCCCATCCATGCAGATATGTAGGGAGAATTGAAATTTTCATGTAGAAATTATTACTAATGTGTGCCATGGAGAAACTGAAAGACCTAGGCATGCATTCTGCTGTCCATTCTTTCTGCCCTGTTTCACTTAAAAATTTGCTTGTCATTTTCAAAGGCTGCCACAGATTTGAATGTGGCCGACTGAAACATTCCACTCCAACAGGACACACGATTGAAAAGTGCACAGAACACAGCAGATTCACTCTCTGTCTAGAGAAGAAATCACTGACATTGGTGGTTCTGACTCAGGAAACAGTCATATTCTGATGCCTTTATGAATCTTGGCCTCTTTATCACTTGCAAATGGACTTCAGATAGTGAGTTATACTGCCCTCTGCCCTTCTCTTCTAGACAAACAGAGGAAGTTTATCTAAGAAAGTTTTAAAACCCTGTGCTTTGGAAGTGATCTGGATAGTCAATTTTTCAGGGGCCTTATTTATGACTCAATAGTCTGGGAATGAAACTCTGTCATAACGGATGACACGAATTCATCAGAACACTCTACAATGTGCCCTGCCCAGAAAACACCAGGTTCTCTAACGATGACCTGAGAAAGTGGCAGTGGGGGAACATGATGATCATTAGTGAACACAAATGGCTTCTGAAATAATAAATGTGCACTGATCTACTCAATAAGGATGAAAAGATGAGATCTGCAGGGACAGACACCGATAAGTTTTTAAGGGAGGTGATAGAATCTGTGAGACAAAAAAAGAGTCTATTAGGGTAAAGTAATGCAGAAAAGTTCAATCTAAAGTTGCTGCTCTTGGGTTAAAAAAAAAAACACCACCAAAACCCCTGGGACATATATACAATGGCATACTCTTGACTCTAAGGAAAATGAAATCATGCTATTTGCCTCTACATGGACAGATCTGGAGGGTATTGCATTGAGGGACTTTAGCTAGAAGGAGAGGGACAGACAACACTCTCAGAGGCAGGATTTGAAGAAACAAAGTTGGGGAATAACAAATGGCCAAAGGCAACAGAGCAGAGGGAGATAGATATCTATGGTGCTAAGCTTATCAAGGTGGGGCAGGGGCTAAGGTGGGTAAGTTGAGGGTTGGGGCACTTTGATAGAGGGTGTGTTATTAGAACACAGTGTGAATGAAACCCTATCTTGAACAGGATTGTAAGCAACTTTTGGTGCCTAAAATAAAATAAAATAAAATAAAATAAAAACTACAGTTGCTGCTCTCACAAGCTACCCTGCAGTAATTTCTTAAGACTCAGATAAAATCTCAGAGATATTCCCAACTTTTTCTATCATCATTACAAGATGAGTAATGTACTTGGGTAGATTCTAGTCTCAGTGCTATGCTTGCTTTGAGAAGTTTTAATTTAAATAACTTAAATAATTATGAATAGATTTAATTAATGGTTTTTCGTTTCTATGCATTTTCAGCTTTTTCTACTAATAAAAAAAAATCTCATTGAAATGCCCAGAATTTTCATTCTAACATCCTTTTCTCTATTTCTCAGGATTTCAGACATGTATGAACTGCCCAGTATTCCAAATAAACCTACTTAAAATCACAATAGCATTTGTTTTCTACAGTTAGCCATATCCTTGATATGATAATAAGGATGTTGCTACCTCACATATCCGTAAAGAGTAGGCACACAATGAGTTTTTTTTAATCTATCAGTGAATTTTAACAAATATATTATAAAAAGTTGGACTGGAGAGATAGTACTGGGATTAAGGCATGCCTTGCTTAGGGCCAATGTCAGTTTGAACCCCAGTACCTATGATGTCCTGAACACCCCAAGGAGCAATCACAGAGCTGGGACTAACCCCAGCACTGCTGGACATGGCCACAAACAGCAATAGTAACAACAAGTCTAGATGATAATGGCATGAGAGAGTCCTCAAAGGAAAATTTACAGAGACTCTATGGACAGAGTATTTTATAATCTCCTCTATGTACATTATTTCATCAGTTCCTATACTATGAATTAAGAAAAGATATTTCCTTACTATGCACGGAGTGGAAAAGCAATAACACAGTGGTAGCGATAAGTGTAACTGGCTCCCCTCACCTGGATTCTAAATACTATTTTTGATACAAAGAGCCATTTCTCCTGGCTCCTTCCAGACATAGCAAATCAGGCCTCAAGTAAGGAAAGTCTGAAATAAGCCAGTAGCATTGTCTTTAGCCAGACCGCAAAGTGTGTCCCTCTAATGACAAGGATCCTCTCCACCCCGCCCACCCCACCCTACCACACACACATGGGGCTGCTGACTCCCACTGAAAAAATTTGGGATAACTCGGGCATAGAAATAAAAACTAATATTGATAATGAATTATAACCAATTTATGTAAAAGAAAAGCAGCCACAGAAAAATATGCTCGTCCAAATGGAAAAAGAAGGAAAGAGAGATAAATGGTACAAGAGGAGGGGAGGGGGGAAAAGGAAAAGAAAAAAGAAAAGTTTTATTTTACAGGAACAGGTCACCTAATATATAGAGAATGACTATGCAAGGAAATCACCCACTGGAATGACCAGCATGGATTCTTAGAGATACCTGGCTTACTTCTTCAAAATCTTATTTTTTTGGGAGGGGGGGGGGGTAAGGGGTGTCACACCTGGCAATGCCCAGGGTTTGCTCCTGGCTCTGCATTCAGGACTTAGTGCTTGGGGTACCATATGGGATGCCGGGGATTGAACCCAGATTGGCCTCATACCCTATCTGCCCTAATATTGCTCTGGCCCTACATCTTCAAAAAAAATTTTTTTTCTTTTTGGATCACACCCGACGATGCACAGGGGTTACTCCTGGCTCTACACTCAGGAATTATGGTACTCAGGGGACCATATGGGATGCTGGGAATTGAATCCAGGTCGGTCGTGTGCAAGGCAAATGCCCTACCCGCTGTGCTATCGCTGCAGCCTCTCTTCTTCAAAATCTTAACTGTGAGAGACAGGATCTTCCAATTACAGCAGAAAGCACAACAGTAGATACCTGTTTTCATACTTGATTCTTTTTTTTCTAAAAGGCTGTAAACCAGGATAACTTATTCTATTTGAAATCTGTCTATGTATTAGAAAATATTCTATCAGGGACCAATGTCTAAGGTGTGTTAATTGCCCTGTATTCATGGAGAACATGCTAATTCTTATGAAATAAATGCTGAATACATTGGATGAAGTATCTTAATGTCTCCAGCTTAAGTTCAGATAATCCAGAAAAAAAATTAGTGTAGAAAATTTAGAAAAATCTCAGGGGAGGGGGCTGCAGTTGAGGGATACAACCAGCCGGATGGAGCGAGCTGGAAGGGAGCAGAGCAAAGATATAGCCTGACCTCACTCTCCTCTCATTTCCTGCCGGGAAACTTGGGTTAAAGAATTCAGGAGCCAGTGGGCAAGAATCCCACTGGTGACTAGTGTGGTGCAGAGGGCAGACCTCTGGGGATCACAGAGCAGTATGAGAGGGGGAGATAAGGCATCGGACCCACGAGGCATGCCAGGCAATGGTCCAGGTGTTTCCACAGTTCGTGAATGCAGGAGGGGCCAAGTGACTGCTAGGGTGAAGTCTGGAAAACAGAATCTCTGAAGATCAAGCATACAGATGATTGATTTGCTCAAAATCAATGCACCGCCATGTTCCACACATGCCTATGACATGCATACACACACCAAACATATTTTTACCAAACCATATATTTATATATAAATGCTCCATGCAAACTATTATTATTTATTCACTTATTAAAATAGTTAATAAAATCTAATTATGTACAGGTGTGAACAGGGCAGTATTCAATTGAAAGGTACAAAGGCACATAGGTGCTAATTTAATTACTTGTAAATTAGTCTACTTAGCTTTAATTTTGTTAGTTAATATTTCTTCCAAGGATTACATAAATATTGAACTTTATTTCAACTAAAGAGTTTAAAAATAAACATTTATAACCAAAAAACCCCAAGCAACTAGATTACAAAGCAGGTAAAAATCAATTAGGTTTTTCTCCAACGAATGACCATTAAGTACAAAAGATGTTAAAAATTAATAATCATTAGAGAAATGTAAATCAAAACAACAGTAAGATACATTTCCTTCCAATTAGAATGGCTATTGCAAGAAATAAGGAAAATAAGAAATAAATGCTGATGAGGATTTGGTGAAGTTAGAACTGGGTACTGGGTGGGTACTGAGGATGAAAAGAAGAAATTGTACAGACAACATGGAAAATAGTATAATGTTCCTTTAAAAATTGAAAAAAAGACTAAAAAGATAGTACAAGGATTAAGGCACTTGCCTTACATGTGGCTGACTCGATTCAATACCCATATGGTCCCCTGAGCCCTGTGAGGAGTGAACCCTTAGCACAGAGTCAGGTGTAACCCTGAGTACCACAGGGTGTGTGTCCTCCCAAAAAACATGAAAATAAAACTACTGAAAAGCAGAAATAAAAGCCAACAATTCCACTAGTGATTATACTAGTAAAACAACTGAAAGTAGGATCTCTGGAAATATTTGCATCTCTACGCTTATAGAAACATTATCTGCCACAGCCAAAAGGCAATGACAGCCCAAGTGTTCACTAACCAGATGAGTGAATAAGCATAATGTAAAATACACATGAAGGCCCATAATTCAGCTTTGTAAAGGAAGAAATTCTGGCACAGTTCCCACACACAGGTGAGCGCTGAAGACACGCTAAGTGAATAATGACTTTATGGTCCCATTCATAATCTTTCCCCTAAAGCATTCATATTCAGAAATATCAAAAGTAGTCTGGTTAGTTGTAAGGATCTGGGGACAAGACGAACAAGGAGGGTTACTGTTTAGCTGGAGGCGGGGTTAAAGGAAGCTGAGGAAAGTTCTGTATAAGGATGCACAGCACACTGAATAACTGAATGCCACTAAAGCATGCTGGACTAGTGAAAACTATTGCGTGTATTTCACTGCGATCGAAAAGAGAAAAAAAATACTCACGGATTCCAGCCTAAGTCTTGTGGGTTTACATACAGAATCCCAGCTCTGGAGACAGTGGCAGGGGTGGCGGTCCTTAAGTGATGGATCTCAAAGAGCAGTCTCATGGAGGGGGTCAGGGCGATGCGCTCATTGCTGGCCAAGGTCAGCACCTGGCGGGGAAGCACAGAGCAAAGTGGGCTGGACCTGCCTTTCAGGAGCAAGTGCTATAGAAACTTAGCAGCAAAACAACACAAAAAGTACCGCCAACCACCGCCTCCAGGAAACACCGCAGGTGCTCACTGTCCCTGCTCCAGTGGAGTCTCAACAAAGTTCTTAGTTTTAATATTGAGAAAGAAAGCCACTATAAGGATTGGTTCACACCAAACTTCAAATTAAAGTGTGGTGATTCTTACTAAACTGAATAGAAGACTTCAAAAATCTATTTACATGCAAAGTTCTGAATGTCACAAGCAAAAGAAAACTGCTTTAGAATCTGACACAAGCAAGGACCAGTTGTCAGATTGGAAATGGATGTAAGTATAAAGATGGCAGAAAGAGATTAATCCAGCCAATCCAGTTTGGAGCCCCGGAACCACATATGGTTCTCTGAGCACTGTCCAAAGTGATCCCCGAGCAAAGATTCAGGAGTAAACACTAAGCAACTGCTGGGCGTGCCCCCCTCCAACAAAGGTCCAAAGGGCTACGTGTTTATTGATTTATGAACAACATCTCCACTCCTGAAGCAGTATTTGCTGCTAATTAATTTAAGGGGGTCACTAATTCAGTAGAGTAGCAATGAGCATTACCAGTCACTCCCCTGCATCTACCAACAGACATTGTGTTGCTAAAGTCCTGCCTCACAAATCCATTCCACCATTTTTTTTTTGTGCTGGAAATACTGGGTTAAGCAAGGCAAAGTAAATTTACATTCCATCTCAACACCCAAGTGTCACCAATTAACACTAATTAACAAAATGATATTCTCATTATCCGACTCTTCCCTACTTAATCAAAGACAAGATGTAATAACTTAGACAAAGGTTTTTTAAAAAATAAATTTCCCCTTTATTTTTAACTTTGTTATTGAATCACTGTGAGATAGAGCCTGTTCATGATTGGATTTCAGTCATACGGTATTCCAATACCCATCTCTCCACCAGTGTACATTTCCCAGCACAGTTCCCCAGGTTCCCTCCCATCACCCCGCACCCCCTGCCTGCCTCTATGGCACGTGCTTTTCTTCTCTCTTTCTCTCTCTCTCCCTCTATCTCTCTCTCCTTTTGGGCATTGTGGTTTGCAATATTCATACTCCTTAGGTTTTAGAAAGTGGGAAAAACTAAAATTTTTGGAAGCACATATAATCCTTTAAATGTAGCTAAACTAATTAATTTTTTATTTTAATTTTTATTGTTTTATAAGTTTTTTTTTACAAATTTGATTCATTTACCAAGGGTTTTTTAATATGGTAACATTTTGGAGTGGTGTTTCATCCCTCTTACCACATCCAACACCAAAGTTCTGACTCTGTCCCATGATCACAAGGACCCCACTTGTCACAAGGATGGTACAAGGGCTAAGGTGCTTGCCCAGCACACTACTTCAGCCATGGCACTGACTTGACTCTCACCACATATAGTGCCCCTAGTACCTCCAGATGTAACCCAAACAGATAAACACATATTGGCCCCTTCCTTCCACCCTCCTTTCCCCTTTCCTCTGGTAAGGTGACAACATTTCTTTCCTTCTTATTTGGCTGTAGTAGGGAGAACATGGTTACACGTTTATGCTATTGGTGTACAAAGTCACTGCATCTTTACCACCATGATCCAATGCTGAAATTTATACAGACAAGGTCAATGAGTACTTGAATACTGAACAGTAAAAGAATTATCAGAAAAGTGCTGTTTATTGAAATAAAAGTCACACAAAACACATTGTGTAAATTATTAATAATAATAACAACCCAACCCCAAATTAGTATTTACATCAATAAGTGAAGGAAACTTTTTTTTGGGGGGTCATACCTGGCGATGCACAGGGGTTACTCCTGGCTCTGCACTCAGGAATTACCCCTGGCGGTGCTCAGGGGACCATATGGGATGCTGGGAATCAAACTCAGGTGGGCTGCGTGCAAGGAAAGCACCCTACCCACTGTGCTATCGCTCCAGCCCAGGAAACTTTTTTTCTTGAAGGGAGAACCCAAGCAATGTTCAGAAGGCCTCATGGGGATTTGTGGCCAACCAGGTCACTGATTTATGGCAAGAGCTGGAGAAGTGGTGCTGCTGGGTGTTTCAATGCTAGAGATCACCTGGGTCAGCCAGAAAGTGCTCTGAGAGTGATAGGACCAAACTCAACAGTTCCTTACTATAGGGTGGGTGGATGGAGGCTCCAGTTGCACCGAGTAGTGCCTGGGGGATCGTATTGTGCCAGGAACTGAACCAATCTCAGCCACTTGGAAAACATGAGCAGCAACACCTATACTAATTCTGGCCTGGCCCATGAGCAGAACTCTCAGTAAAACATTCTTGAGCTGTGCACTAAGTTTAGTGCTAAGGTTTCATTACTCACCTTGTTGTCATCCATGACAGTATTCAGTGATTCAATCCACATGGGATCAATATCTCCATCTAGAACTATCCATTTTGGTCCATCATGCATCAAGTTTGCTTGTTCTCGAAGGATGAAGGAGAAGAGACCTATGAATTAAGAATGAAACAATGTAAGCCAGTGGAGCTAAACAGAAATCGATTTTGTTTTGTTTTAGTTTTAGTTATTCCTGAATCTGTGCTCAGGAATTACTTCTGGAGGTGCTCAGGGGACCATGGGATGCTTGGGATGGAACTCGGGTTGGCCATATGCAAGGTAAGTGTCCTCCTACCCACTCTACTATCTCTCCAACCCCAGCACTGTAGCACAGTCCTCCCATTGTTCATCAATTTGCTCAAGCGGGCCCAGTAACATCTCCATTGTGAGACTTGTTGTTACTGTGTTTGGCATATCAAATACGTCACGGGGAGCTTGCCAGGCTCTGCGTTGCAGATGAGAAACTCTCGGTAGCTTGCCGGGCTCTCCAAGAGGGGTGGAGGAATCAAACCCGGGTCAGCCGGGTTGGCTGCATGCCAGGCAAACACCCCATGGCTGTGCTATCACTCCAGCCCCTGACCCCAGCAAATCAAGTTTTTTAAAAAGGAAAAGAAACAAAGCAAATCACAGATACTTATCCTGCTATACTATCTCTCTGGTCCCCTATGCATATATATTTAATAACAATAGTCCTGAATCCTAGCCCATTCTTGGTAACCAGTAAACACACGAAGACTATATGTTACATGAGTTAACAAAATATAATGTTTCTGATGAGCCTGAGCAACAGGGGCAGGGAGAAACACACACACACACACTCACACACACACACACACACATGCAAACACACACACCACTTTAAATACTTAAAAATTTTAGGGATTTTGTATTTTTACATGTCTATTACTACATGTCTAAGTACTGATCTAAGTGTTTTGAGTTATATTTAATAGTTGCTCATTTTTCACTAAAAAACTTTAAACTTTTAAAAACAAACAAAAACATTAAAAATAAGGTAGGGCATTTGCCTTGCACGCAGCCAACCTGGTTCGATTCCCAGCATTGCATATGGTCCCCTGAGCACCGCCAGGAGTAACTCCTGAATGTAGAGCCAGGAGTAACCCCTGTGCATCGCCAGGTGTGACCCAAAAAAGCAAAAAAAAAAAAATTTATGTTAAGCTTTAAGAACACGATAGACTGGTTCAGCACCTCCATGAATGTGTGAGTAATGCAGAGAGAGAGATATCCACAAAAAGACGCCTCTATTCAAAAATTCTTGAGCTCATTTGCCAACATGGCTTGGCGCAAGCCTCAGGAAATCTGAAGCGAACTTCCAAGCTCGCAAAGCAGTACAGAGAAGTGATCAAGGAAGACCTCAAAGAGAGAAGAGCAGCAGTGCTGGCAGATGCGGCAGAAGCCGGGAAAAGTATTCACAACACCTGCCTGTCCTTTGCCAACTACAAGACCAAGATGACTGCCCCCTGACGTCCTGATGGATCTATCACATCTTCCAAAATGGCAATGGAGAAGATTATCCATGACTTCTACTCAGATCTCTTCAATAGTCACACCCACCTGCCCACATACCAAATTCCACAGGATGGATATGTCGTTCCCAACATTCTCCCTTCTGAAATCTGACATGCCATTTTGTCGGTAATGAAGTGAAGAGCACCCAGCCCAGACAAGGTCAGACCCAAACACTTGAAGAACCTGCTATCAGCTCTCATCAATACACTGGCTCAGCTCTACACGCACTACCTGTCTGTATGCAAGGTTCTGTCCTAATGGAAAACAAGCAGGACTGTACTACTGTACAAGAAGGGAGACATCCACGACATTGGCAACTATCGCCTGATCTGCCTGTTGTCTGTCGTCTACAAGCTGTTCACTCTAGTCATCCTGAATAAAATTGACAGAACGCTAGATGAAGGACAACCATGCGAGCAAGCCAGATTCTGAAAAGGATTCAGCACAATCAACCATATCCACACCATAACCAAGCTCATTGAGTTTTCTCGGGAGTTCAAGATGCTGCTCTGTCTAATGTTCCTTGATTTAAAGAAGGCCTTTGATTCTGTTGAGATGGAAGCGGCCATAGAAGCCCTAGCCAAACAGGGTGTTCAAACTCAATACATCAGGATCCTCCGTGAACTGTATTTCGGACTCACTACCAGTATCTTACCATTCTACAAGGAAGTGATCATCCATGTCAAGAGAGAGGTTCGGCAGGGTGATACCATTTTACTAAAACTCTGCACTTCCACCCTCGAGAACATCATGCGATGACTGGAATGGGAAGGAATGGGAGTGAAGATAGAAGGTTGGCCACTACACAACCTCCGCTTTGCTGATGACATCATTCTAATAGCCAAGTGGCACAAATGCTGGCCGACTTTGACCATGAGTGTAGAAAGATCAGACTACAGCTGAATCTTACGAAGACAATGTTTATGAGAAATGGTCTTGTTCCTAACGTTCCATTCACTCTTAATGGAACGAACATCTCAGAATGCAACAGTTATGTGTACCTAGGTTGTTAAGTCAACATGACGAATGACCTGGCACCTGAGTTGCGCAGGAGGAAGAGAGTGGCTTGGAACACCTTCAAGAGCATCAAAGAAATAGCTAAGAAGACAAAGAACCTCTGGCTCCAGGCACATCTCTTGGATTCCACTGTTCTTTCTGCATTAACATATGCCTCAGAGACCTGGGCCCTCTGAAAACAGAATGAGAATGCTATTCGGGTTTCCCAAAGAGGAATCAAAAGAGCTATGCTTGGAGTATCACGCTTCACTCAAGTGAGAGAAAGAATCTGGAATTCAGATCTCCATCAACGATCAAGAATCAGAGATGCTGTCTTGTTTGCAAAGGCATCAAAAATCAGATGGGCTGGACACATAATGAGATTTAGAGATGACCACTGGACTAGAACCGTTACCGACTGGATTCCACTGGATTTCAAAAGATCGCACGGCCGCCCATATACGAGATGGTCAGACTTCTTCGTCAAGACCCTGAATGATTGGTCTGAGGATCTTTGTGTTCCTGGAGTGAGCAGATGCCACTGGGCTACACTAGCACATGGACGAATGGAGATGTTATTGGCGCCCACTCGAGCAAATCAGTGAGTAAGGGGATGTTAAGTGATCAAGCTTTTAAAACGTTCACTTTTTAAAAAATGAGGTTATGGCAGAGATGCTTACGGACCCCTGCCCTAGGCCGAGTTTCATCTGGGGCACCCTGGAGTAGGGTGGGTGAGCCCAGCACCCACCCAGAGACCCTGCAGTCCAGAACTCCAAACTCCAATTGTCACCATGCTCACAGCTGGCTTCCACCAGTTGGACTTCAACACTGCTTGGGATGAGCCTCATGCAGAAATTGATCTGTTGAAAAACTCAGGTATGCAGGTTTTGTAATTGAAATCTCCCATCTCTCATGGCATCAGGGGTGGGCTACCTCACCCTGTCTTCCTATTTTTCCGGGAATCCAGCAGTCATGCCCATGAACTGCCTCCAGCTGCCATCAAATAAGCTCAGTAACTGGCCATGATCTGGAGACTCATAAACAAATCTTGAAATAGATCAACAAGCTGCAGAGATGCTTCCACACCCTGAAATCACCATCCAGTTAAAAATTTAATTCCAGCTGTAGTAGTCCATTTAAAATTTTTTAATTCCTTGATATCTCAGACTCTACAAAACTGATATACCACATTGGATGGGATGTGAAGTAGAAGGCAACCCATCTCGATTAAGAAAATATTAACACACAAGGCTTAACCTGTATCAACATCTTAGTAATCTCTTATATAAGAGTTTAATGGCTCCATAGTGCGATACAACAATCGTCACACACTTTCTTCTAAGAAAAGCTTTTTGGATCATTTCTAGCAAATTATTTAAACAATCAATATAAAGTAAATCATTCAGGGCCTGCAATTGGGGCAGGCTTGGGTGGTGGTTGGGAAAATGGGAAACAATGATGGTGGGAAGGCATAATAATGGTGGGATTGGTGTTCGAATATTGAATGTAATAAATCATGAATAACTTTATAAAAATAAACAAAGTAATTTAAAAAAATGAGATTATGGGTCAGAAAATGAGTTTAAAGGGCTGAGTACCTATTTCACATGCAGGAGACCTGGATTTTATCCCTGGAAATGCAGGAGTGACCCCCATCCCCCAGGAACTAAGGTAGGAGTAGTTCCTGAGCACTGCCAGGTGTGGCCCCAGAAACCCCACCCCCACAAACAGACACACTGTCAAAAATTAAATCAGGCTAGAAGAGCAAACTTTGGTTGTCCCACAAATGAATAAAACCGTGTACCTACCAAAGGTATAAAGAACAATAAATGGACATCTTGAGTTGGGGTTATCAGGGAAGTCCTGGTGTGACACCTCACTAAAACCATGGAGCAAGTCATGCAGTTATTTTTGAGGCTATATGTGGCTGGTACATCAATACAAAGGCCTCATTCTGGGAAGGTTCTTGGGTGTTTCAGGAAGAACAGGAGGCCAGAGTGAATGGATATGTAGGTGCAGGGCAGAGCACAAGAAATGTGATCAGTGACAAGTGAGTAGGGAAGAACCACAAGGAACCTGGGAGATTTCTCAAGGGAATGGAACTCAGTGGAAATTGCAAGTAGAAAACAATCCTTTGGAAATCACTCTCTAAGACTGGGGAACTGGCTCAAAGGGCGGAGCTCATCCTCTGCATGCAGGAGCCCCAGGTTCCAAACCCGGCACCACAACGACTTCCCTCTCTCCCACCACTGAATCCTGAAAGCACCCTTCAACTCCTTTCCAGAAAATGATCAAGAGGGGAAGGTGAGCTGGACTCAAACTGGTAATTATGGAGAAGACAAGTACAGGAAAGTAGGTTTTAAAGGACAAACCCATAGGATTTGAGAGAGGTTGTATGTCCGCTATGACAGGAAGAGAGGATGCAAGGATCACAGGCAGTTTCATGCTTTTTTCTGAAGTGGAAAGTTGTAAGAAACAAGAGATGTGCTTTATTGCAAACACTTTAAGGGCAAAAGTACATGTTCCTGACTTTTGTCACTGGCATCTAGATAGGGCCTACATCAATGTGAAATCCACTCAGTTCCACATATCAGGTCCTGAGGCAGTGAATGTTGGTTTCTCTCCTGGCCTATAGGGAGCCCTGACAATATGGAGAACACAGTTTCAAGAATGGATCTGCTGAATACAAATTTTCACCTAATCAAATCTAGCTTTAATTTCTAGACTATAAATACTATAACCTGCTCTTTTTTGTGATCTGCAAAACTTTCAATAATGCCACATATAGAAAGTAAATCGACAACTATGACTAAAATTAGCTTGAACTGCAAAAGGACTGGATAAGAAAAAAAGGACAATTTTAGCATTTCAAAAGGGGGTTAGAGAGATAGTACAGAGATTAAGGTGCCTGTCTTGCTTGTGGTTCCACCTAAGTTAAATCTCTGGCACCACCATGGTCCTCTGAAAACCTCCAGGAATTATCCATGAGCACAAAGCCAGGCAGTAAGCCCTGAGCATCACCAGGTGTACCCCTCTCCTCCCATAATCCAAAAAGGGGAAATTCTACTTGCCATCCTTCCATTCTCGGGTAGCATGATGTATGAAACCAAAAAGTTCATCTGTTGTTACAGCTTTGGGGTTTAAGTCATTCCAAACAGGTTTCTGTTTCATGTTGACATATGTTCGATTCAGTGTTCTCAAAATCTGAAGGAGGGGAAGAGTTAAGAAAATGAATACTGGGGGCTGGAAGTACAGTAGGCAGGGTACCTGACTTGCATATGACTGACCTTGGTTTGACGCCCCCCCCAGCATCATATATGATCCCCTGAGTACAACCAGGAGTGATTCCTGAATGCAGAGCCAGGAGTAACCTCTGAGCATCACCAGGTGTGGCCCAAACATTTTTTAAAAAAGAAAAAAAAAGAACAATGAAAACCTTTCCAAAGGATCTCTCTTACTCATTTTATTCCCTGAACGTTTCTCACTATTCTACATTGGGATTGAGAAGGGGAAAAGTTTTTTACTTGTGTATGTTTCTTTTAGCACCTTGAAAACTCTAAGCCTACAATCCCTACAATCCAAGTCAATCTTGGAACAAGCCAGACTATTTTATCATTTGAGATGTTTAATCACATGTGCAAAGTATTCATCCATGTCATGGGAATTCACGTTGCCTGTATTTCTATCTTCTCAAAATCCAGCCAGCAGTGAATGGCTGCAGTGTTTAAACACACAGATAGCTCAGCCCAAGTCAGTCTTTGTCCCTGACTACAGGGAGTCAAGGGCTAGACTCATCGGCTGCCTTTCTAATATAGCCCAGGGTAAAGCCTGGCTGTGGTTTGAAACCATGACCTAGAGCAATGATTCTCAATGGTATGTTCTGGCTGGGCATGGGGGGAGAGTTCAGAGGGGAGAGGTCTGGGAGAATTGAGGACGCTACTGAACACCTTCTAATATACAGGCCAGTGTCAGTAGTGCTGAGGCGGGGAGACCTTAGTCTGAGTAAGGCAGGGAAGCAGCCTGGGAGACAAAATCCTCACAGGACAGGGGCTGACTGTGTGTCCAGTCAGTTAGCTCCCACCTTAGTCCAAATATCTTCCCCAACTAGCCTTTCAACTTTCAACTTTCTCCACAAAGCCATGGCTTTTATTTTTTATATTTTTCATCTTGACCTATGCCCAGGGATGTGAAGGACGGATGATTATTCCAATTATTAGAATAGCAGTTTAAGAAAATGTTGAAGAGAACAGAACCAGTGAAGACTCATGAGAAATTGAATGCCTGCGGAATATTCAGTTCTATTTTTAGAAACCGTCGATCTCATGAAAATTATAAAATTCAATTTTATCCTTTCTTGAACCATAGTCCACATTGGAAACTCACTCTAACACAATAATTACTGCTCATTTATCTATTTTAATATTTCAATTATTAACATTTATCACGAGAAAAATCCCTACACAGGCCCTCCCTTTTCAATGATTCTCCTCTGGCTTCTGATCTGATTGCTGGCATGTTGTGTGTGCCATGCTCTGGAGTCTCTACTGCTGACTCTGGTTATTTTTAGTCACTGACTACTGACTCTGTTTATAACCCAGCACCCTGAATGAAGATGCATGCGGTTCAGCATATACCGTCAGCCAACCAAGAAAACATGATGCCAGCACTGTCAGTAATACTAAACAAAGTCCAGCAGTGAACGGAAAATGGGGATAATAATACCCAGAACACATCATCATTGTGCCGAGTAATCACACACAAGGCACCTCACACAGACATAAGAGGCACCTCAAAAAATGTAGGTTTGGCTGCCTCCCTTTCAAGTTTTGTTTTGCCCCTTGAGTGGGCTTGACTTCTGGGGAGAACAACATGAAAATATTTGGATTGTTTTTAATGATATGGGAAGAAAAATCTAGGACATCTTGGCAAAGATAAGGAAGCAGTTTTGATAAGACTTTGGAAAGATCAATACATTCTTCCAAGTCAAATTTATTTCACAATCCTTCAGTATGTTTACTCTGGACAACAGAATTCAGGTTCCAGAGGCGCAGGGTTCAGTGGGACAGTCCTAAATGCAGGAAGAGGATGCAAAGGATAGTATGTGGGAAGCCAAATCTCCAGCTTGAGCAGAAAGAAGAAATTTCTCTTATTGGAATGCAATGTTCCATTTGTTACTCTTTCTGCTACTCCTTCAGTATAAAGAAAAAAAATTGTCAACTGAACCAAGAGTTTCTGATTCTAACTGAATCTTTTAGTGGATCTCATTGAGTAGCATTAAAACAAAGCTCACCTACACAACATTTCTCCCATGGCTGAGCACTAACGGCAATAGACTGTACCTTACTCTTTCCTGTGCCTGCATTTCCAACCACAAAAACCGAGTGTCTCACGGCCAATAGTTCTTCAAGCTGGACAACCTGCAGATTTAATGAGTTAGTTAGTGATTTGAAAAGAAATATCCACTCATTTTTACATGATTATTTCCTGCAACCCAAGACAGCTCCAACTGACAATATTAAGTTCTGGAAAAGTTCAAAGAGATGACAAGTGCCAAGAAAAGTTTCTTCTGTATCTCCCAGCACAGAACACGTGAATGAGGATGACGAAAAGCCAAGGCACAGAAAAATCACTGACCTAGTGGAATTGCAATAAAAAATTTCCAGGCACATGGCAGAAATTACTGTCAAAATCAATATGTCTTTCTGAGGTGTAGAACCAGTAACTACAACTGGTCTCATTCACCTGACCCTGAAGGCTTCACCAACATGGCAGCACTGAGAAGGATGAGAAAGGAGAGGCCGACAAAATCTCAAGGCCGAACTAGGCTGCCACAATGAAGGAAGACAAAAATGATCATCTGTACTTTCAATGCACGTACGCTAGCATCAGATGCATCCATCGAGGACCTGATGGTACAAGCGCGAATGATCAAGTATGACATCATTGGTCTGACTGAGACAAGAAGGCACGAATCTCACCATGCCGTTTTCGACACTGGAGAAGAATTGTTCCTCGGAACATGCGATAAACAAGGTGTCGGAGGTGTCGGTGTCCTTGTCAACACAAACTTGGCCATGAGCATTGATTCATTCGAATGCCTAACAACCTGAATCAGACGTTTACATTTGAATAGATGTGGCTCACTGCCTGCAGTTTCTATCTTCGTTGTCTATGCACCAACATCTCATTATGATGAAAGAGAAATTGAGAAGTTCTACATGGAGCTGGAGAAGTTCTATAAAGAAGACCACACCTTCTACAAGATCATTGTGGGTGATTTTAATGCCAAGATAGGACCGAGAAGATCAGCTGAAGAACTTCACATTGGGACCCATGGCCTAGAATGGAACGAACAGGGTGAGAGACTGTCTGAGTTCATCATGTCGACCAAGACTATCCATGGTAACTCACAGTTCCAGAAGGCAGAATCTAAACGTTGGACATAGGAGTCTCCTAGTAGAGGGTTCCACAATGAAATAGACCACATCATATTCAATCGACGGTTTTGCCTGACCGATGTTGCTGTTGTCCCAAAATTTCGAACAGGATCGGACCACCGTCTCCTTCGTGCAAAATTCTACTTCACAGAGCGGGGAGAAAGGGCTGCAAAGTTCAAAAAGAGAACTCCCAGAATGACCACCAACTGGGAACTCTTTGGCACTATTGCGGCAACATGGGAAGATGCCATTGTTGACAACATTGACGAAGAATACGATCGACTGGTTCACCACCTCCATGAATGTGCGAGGAATGCCAAGAGAGAGATAGCCACAAAAAAACGCTTGTCTTCGAAATCTCTTGAGCTAATTTGCCAGCGTGGTTTGGCGCATGCCTCAGGCAACCGCAAGCTAACGTCCGAGCTCGCAAAGCAGTGCAGAGATGCGATCAAGGAAGACCTCAAAGAGAGAAGAGCAGAAGTACTGGTAGATGCGGCAGAAGCTGGGAAAAGTATTCGTAACGCCCGCCTGTCCTTCGCCAGCTACAAGACCAAGATGACTGCCCTCCGACGTCCTGATGGATCCATCACATCCTCCAGAACGGCAATGGAGAAGATTATCCATGACTTCTACTCAAATCTCTCCGATAGCCATGTCCACTTGCCGACATACCAAATTCCACAGGATGGATATGTTGTTCCCAACGTCCTACCTTCTGAAATCCAACATGCCATTTCATCGGTAAAGAAACAAACAGCAGTCGGCCCAGACAAGGTCAGACCTGAACACCTGAAGAACCTGCCGTCAGTACTCATCAATACACTGGCTCGGCTCTTCACTCGCTACCTGTCTGAATGCAAGGTTCCATCCCAATGGAAAACCAGCAGGACCGTACTACTGTTCAAGAAGGGAGACATCCATGACATTGGCAACTATCACCCGATCTGCCTATTGTCTGTCATCTACAAGTTGTTCACTCGAGTCATCCTAAATAGGATTGGCAGAACACTAGATGAAGGACAACCATGTGAGCAAGCCGGGTTCCGCAAAGGATTCAGCACCATCGACCATATCCACACAATAACCAAGCTCATTGAGGTTTCTTGGGAGTTCAAGATGCTGCTCTGTTTAACGTTCATTGATTTAAAGAAGACCTTTGATTCTGTTGAGACAGAAGTGGTCATTGAAGCCCTAGCCAATCAGGGCATTCAAGCCCAATACATCAAAATCCTCCATGAGCTGTATTGCGGATTCACTACCAGGATCTCACCATTCTACAAAGAAGTGATGGTTGATGTCAAGAGAGGGGTTCGGCAGGGTGATACCATTTCACCGAAACTCTTCAGTGCCACCCTCGAGAACATCATGCGACGACTGGAATGGGAAGGAATGGGAGTGAAGATAGATGGTCGGCAACTACACCACCTCCGCTTTGCTGATGACATTGTTTTAATAACACCAAACATCAGCCAAGCGGCACAAATGCTGGCCAACTTTGACCGTGAGTGTGGAAAGGTAGGACTACAGCTGAATCTTACGAAGACAATGTTTATGAGAAACAGCCTCGTTCCTGACGCCCCATTCGCTCTCAAGGGAATGACCATCTCCAAATGCATCAGCTATGTGTACCTAGGTTGAGAAGTTAACATGACAAATGACCTGGCACCCGAGCTGCGCAGGAGGAAGAGAGCAGCTTGGAACGCCTTTAAGAACGTTGAAGAAATAACTAAGAGGACGAAGAACCTCCAGCTCCGGGCACATCTCTTTGATTCCACTGTTCTTCCTGCATTAACATATGCCTCAGAGACCTGGGCCCTACGCAAACAAGATGAGAATGCTATTCAGGTCTCCCAAAGAAGAATAGAAAGAGCTATGCTTGGAATATCATGTTTCACTCAAATGAGAGAAAGAATCCGGAGTTCTGACATCCGTGATGATCAAGAATCAGGGACGTCCTCTCATTTGCCAAGGTGTCAAAAATCAGATGGGCTGGTCACGTAATGAGATTTAAAGACGACCGCTGGACTAGAACTGTTACCGACTGGATTCCACGGGATGTCAAAAGACCGCGGGGCCACCCACCTACCAGATGGTCAGACTTCTTTGTCAAGATCATGAACGATCAGTTTGAGGCTCTTCATGTTCCCAGAGCGAACAGATTCCATTGGGCTACACTAGCACGCGACAGGGACAAATGGAGACGTTGCTGGCGCCCGCTCGAGCAAATCGACGACTAACGGGAAGTTAAGTGATTAAGTGATAAGTGAGGTGTGGAACAAAAACAGTGCCAGGGCAGTTATCACTGACAAATGAATAAAGTCTAGATACTTCATGTGTGTTTTACTTTTCATGCATCACTATACCCATATTGAGCCTATGTATGCACAAGCCTTTAACAAAATTGATGTCATCACATATTTAGGCATTTATCCACCTCCACCCTCTTTCTCTAGCCCCATTTAAAAGAATGTACTAATGATCTTACTTCTAATTCTCTCCAAAATGGAGAAAAAAGAGCAAAATCAATTTTTGGTGCTTGTCACCAAGATAATTTAGGACTTAATGAAAAGCATATTTTTATTTAAAAATCATGATTTCATCATATCCATACTTTTATCTTCCCATGAACTGGCAGTACAAAACATTTATTTATATTGACTACAGTAAAACCAATCATAGAAGAATGCCTTTAAGGATATAAAGAAATAGAATTAAGGTCACTTTACCTCGTCCATAGTTCTCAACTATTTTATACCCATGGACCAGCACAGTCCAAGGCACAGCAGTTGAAAACCACTGTACTACAATGTCACTTAATAATTATCAAAGGGCCGAAGCGATAGTACAGCGGGTAGGGCCTTTGCTTTGCCTATGGCCAACCTGGGTTCAATCCCTGGCATCCCATGTGGTCCCTCCGAACATCACCAGGAGTAATTCCTGAGTGCAGAGCCAGGAGTAAACTCCAAGTATCACCAGGTATGAGCCAAAAAGTCAAAAATTAAAACCCAACAAAAAACCCACAACAGCTATTGACTCTGCCCATCCCAAGGGCAGAGGACCCAGGCAAATGCATCTTTACTTTGAGGATGAAGTTCTCCTCTGGCTGCAGGCGCAGCTCCAGCGTGGACTGTTTGACCATCTGTTCCAAATGTAGGGCCCTCCTCCGCGGCACACTCAGGGCTGGAAACAGGTCACTAACCAGGCCCAGAAACACAGGGATGTCATCTGTTACTATCTTGGGCATATTGAAGTCCCTTAACGCTCTCATGAGTACCTAGAATCAGGACAGAAAATTCTTTATAAAAACGATCTATGCAAGGCCTAACAAAAAACCTCATCAGTTAGAGATGTTAACTGAATCCTCATAGCTGACTCTTGAGCTATAAATAAGGTTCTCCAGGAGAAATGCAGTCTGCATTTTATTCATAGGGAGGTTAAATACCTGTTTACAAGCTCACCAATCTGAATGTGAAAAGGCTCTGCCTATACCATGAACAAGCCTGACTAAAGTTGGCAAGTTCTTTCCTACCAATGATGTTTGATTTTGAAAAGGGGCCCTTTTCTTGTTAATCCTTATGCTCCAGGATACAGATTAACCAGGCCTACCAGATCATTACATTCAAAGTACTCTCTGAGAGTCTCAGCATGATACTGAACTAATTTTAGTTTTTGTTTTTGTTCTATATTGGCTGAAAACCTAAGAGGGCTGTAGATTTGTAAAGCAGTAACTTAAGCATCAGGATTGTTTTTACAGAAAAAGGTTAAGCATTTCAGCACCAAATCGCCAGCAAAAGAACAAATAAATGCAACTTGTCCTAACCCAATCACTGATTGTGAGAGGAAGAGAGAGAAATATTGGAAAAGTAGAAAATTCACATCATAAATTCTTTCAACAAAAGTATGTGATGTGGTCATTATTATTTCTTTACAGGAAGGATAGTAAAATCTGATTAAAATTATTTTAATTATTTGTTTTTGCTCTTTGGGTCACACTTGGCGATGCACAGGGGTTACTCCTGGCTCATGCACTCAGGAATTACTCCTGGTGATTCAGGGGACCATATAGGAAGCTGGGGATCGAGCCTGGGTTAGCCACATGCAAGGCAAACGCCCTACCTACTGTGCTATCGCTCCAGCCCAAAATTATTTTAATTTTAAATATTGTTTTAAAATTATATTTATATAATTCCTTTATGTATGAGGCTCGTCCGAGCATGTGGAGAGTGTCCTTGAGCATGGCTGTGGCTGGGTAGGGGAGGCCTTTGGCTGCTGGGGCTCTGCTTGGGGTGGGGAGGGAAACTCAACCCACCCCCCTCCAAGGGGCCCCGGTGAAGACAGCCTGGTGAGAGGGCAGGAGACTCTGCCTGCATGAAGGAACAGGCAGAGGAACCCAGGTACATGGGTCCCGGGGCTGAGATCTCCAACCCTGCTCAGATTGGAACTGGGAGTCCTCCACCCAGATCCCCCATTTTCCAGTAGCTAGGCAGTTACACCTACAAACTGCCCCCAGCGCCATGAAATCCCATCAACAGCCAAGATTCAGAGACTATAAGACAAAGCTCCCGGAAGCCCGCAGCTACATATGCGACCTTGCAACCTCTTATAGTTTAGTTCTCCTTCTCAGAGAACCTGGCAAGCTACCTAGAGTATCCTGCCCACAGGGCAGAGCCTGGTACACTCCCGTGGTGTATTCGATATGCCACAAACAGTAACAATGATGTATCTCATTCCCCTGACCCTGAAAGAGCCTTCAATGTGGGACCATTGGGAGGAATGAGAAAGGAGTGGCTATTAAAATCTTAGGGCTAGGACGAATGCAGACTGATGCCCATTGAGCAAAACAATGAATAACAGGATGACAGTGATACAGTGATAATGATTATTTTTTAATATCTTTGTTGAACAAATGGCATTTAATAAGTAATTTTAAATGATATGTTCTATCTCTAGTACTTCTGATCAACCGAGTTAACAGTGGTGTTGGATGACCATCCTTATTCCATTTTTCACATCCACTTCTCATCCCATATAATGGACATACTTTCAGTAGATTTCCCTCTTTTTTTTTTCAGGATTACCACCCCAACTTACATATTCAGATTTTTAAAAATGTTCCTTAGAAGCAATCAGTGACTGCTGAATTATTTGCTTATCAAAATTATTTTTGTCACTGATATTTTACAAGTACTTACAAAATCACATTTTCTTTTCAAATTCATATCTTTGTACTTAAGAAGACTTATACGCTTTTTAAAGAAATGCCAGTCTCCAAAATAGCTATTAAAATAGATGTTACATTTTTTAAATGTAACCCTAGACATGACCCACCCTCCAGGCATATACTTTGTGTTTAGGAAGTAGCTTCACTACTCAATCGACAAAATCCTGCTAAGAGTGCAGTACCTGGTCTTCTGGCCGATTTTTATCTCCACGTTTCAGGGAGCCAGCTACCACCAAGACAGATTTAATAGCACGGAGTCCCCAGTCATAATGATCCTAGAAATCAAAACACAAGGCATATTTTCTCAACAACTTTATGAAAGGTAACACTTAAGATTTCCTTTCTAGAGGAAAAAGCCAAACGCTAGAACAGAAGATTTTGGAGAAACCCAAGTGCCTGTGATACAGTCCCTTGGAGTCTGTCAAGACCCCATCCTTCAGTGTCCTTCCACTTCTTTCCACAGCATTTTGTGTGTTACTGGTCCAAAATGTTTTGTCTCTCTTGCTCTTCACTCAATAAACCCACTGACTCAAGAGTTCAATCACTTCCCTATTCTGTTTTCCTACCATAATACAGTTCTCCTGTTGCCCCCAAGAGTCCTGCAGTTCCACCTTTGACAAGCTCATACATTTAATTTCCCTTCTTCTTCACTGCATGGAGGCTTCAGCCAGCACAGGAACTGAACAGACTGTTAAAACTCATTGACTCATTCACATATTTCTGTGAAGATTCCTCTCACAGGGTCTCACCTCCTGGTGGACAGAGCCCCTAGTTTACTCACTTTTGTCTTCTAGGTGCTAGCATAGTTCACAGTGACATGCTCTGCAAATGCAGACTGAATTAAGCAGGAGCCTTTCAGCTATCCCCACAGCAACCACCCTCCCTGCTGTCTCTGCTTGTAAGTGGGGAAGCCGCTAAGCCTCTCCATGCTCCAGGATCACCATCTATAAATGAGAGCATCTACTTTACTCCCAAGGTTGTTATGGGAGCAAACGGAGTTCATGCTTTATGGGCAGTAAAGCAATATATACATGTATGAATGTGCCCTGCAATATACGAGTGGATAAGAAAACTGATTTAGTGGATCTTGACCATCATTTTATTGGTAATAGCACAGAACCGAATAGAATGGAAAAAATCAGAGTACATTGCAAATAATAATATCAGGAAGTATTTGGTAAAAAAAATGGTTCTATCGTGTACATCTCTGTGTGTATGTGCCTGGTCAAAAGAAAAAGTGTTTTTCACTGTAGGTCATGGAAAAAGTCATCTGAAAGTCACTGGCTGTAGAAGGAGACAGGATTTGGGGAGGTGAGAAACAGGCAGGTGATGAACCAGAAATTGGAGACCAGGAAAATAGGTTGTGGGGCAGAGGATGAGAGACTTAGCTACTGCACTAATACTATAAAGGGAGAGAATGTAGAAGAAATGCAAGGCACAGATGTAAGAGATTTTGGGGACTCTCCTAAAACATTTCTATGTTAAAATAACTTTCACCATTTTTATTCTGCTATTCTTTGGATCAAAAAGAAAAAGCACTGATTCTTTTAAAGCCCCTTTCTGTAGCTTGGAAATAAAGGAGTGCATTAATTCTTAACTCAGCAATTCTATTGTGGCTAATAGATTTTTCTTCACCCCCATCACATTCATCACGGCTAAGTTGGGGACCTTTAGTCCTGCTTGTTCCATCTTTACCCCAATATCTCCTATATCTATTTTTATAACTGTCTACAAATGGCCCCATTCACCCGACAGAATTAAAACAAACTGAACTCAAATCTTCCTCACACCACTTACTAGCTGTGGACTTATATTGCTTCAGTAAGTTTCAACTTCATCTGCCTTTGGGACAGGTTTGGGTGGTGATGGAAAAATTCGAAATAACGATGGTGGGAAGGTGTAATTGTGGTGGGACTGGAGTTGAAATATTGAATGTAATCAAACTGTGAACAACTCTTTGAAAATAAAATAAATAAGTTTCCGCTTCTATAAACTAAAGCAAAGAAGAGCATATTCAGAAACTTGTAAAAATCTGAAAAGATATCACACTACTTCTCTTCCATAAATATTGGTCTCTTTCTTCCTTAAGGCTATGTTTTTCAGTCTTGATCTTCTTCAACATTTTTTCATGAAAACTTGATTTTCTTAATAACTTCTTCGAAATCACAAACCTTAGAATTTGTTTCACTTGTTCTGTGTCTAACCTCCTTCTGAAAATATAAACAAGTTCTCTAGATACAGTAAGTCCACAATGAACGCTTAACTCATATTAATGGGGATGGAAACTGTGCAACTACATGTTTTCTGCATTCAGTAATCTTTTTTTTCTTATACTTTTTTTCACATTTTAAAATGGAATCATTGCAGGGAAAAAGAATATTACAAATAAGAAAAAGTAGAAAAATTTTAAGTGTTCACAATTACCCAGAGACAAATGCTAAAAGCCATAATGTAGGTGCTCGCCTGGTATGTTGTTGAGCCTCGACACTGCATATGACCCCCTGACATCACCAGGAGTGACCCCCTCAGTCAGAGCCAGGAGTAAGTCCTGAGCATCATTGACTGGGGCCCAAAGTGCAAAATAAAAATAACAATGCTAATAAAACAAAATATTATAAAGTAATGCCATATCACTTTGTGTGTCCTTAAAATACTCTAATGCAAAATTTATAATACATTAAATTATACATTGCACCTACAATTTGGTATGGTGTTTTAATTGCATGATATTGTAGTAAATGTTTTGCCTTATTATTATATATGACACAATTTCCTCCTATAATGTAAATTCACACTAATCATAATGACAACATGAATTATCTCTCAGTTTCCAAGTTTCACCCACACTATGGGAAATTTAAAATGAGTATGTTGGCAGCCTAGGCGCCATGTAGCTATAGATGTGATATTTTAAACTTTTATCCTGGAACACCTACAGAGGAATACCACCAGAATTACTGAAAGGACACCTAAAGACTGAAGTAAAAGTTAGAGTTTAAAAACAAAGTTAGAGTTTAAAAATAGGAATGCTGATACCTATAACATTTTTGTGACACATCAGTACTTCCTACTTGGAAACCAGTGAAGGACGGTAAAGAATATACAAGTCTGACCCATTTCAGAGATCAAGAAATAGTAGAGCAAAAAGTTAAGAGAAAAATAAAGGCCAAGTCAAACCTGTCAAATAAGACATCAGTAACAAAATGATAAAATAACATTTCTTGAGGTGTTTCTCAGAAACTCAATTTTACCTGACTATTTAAGAATCTAATATTTTTAACAGAAAAGGTGGTATCATTTCCATTTATAATTATAGCACAGGAAAAGTTAAAAAGAAAAATCACATAGCCACTGTTAGAATCTATAGAAGTACAAATTAAACATTAGACCTAAGATATTTCAAGTTTAATTAAAAATATATATACATTTTCCAAACTCATATGGGAAACCCAGTCACTCAGTACAGCTAAGAAAAAGTGTAAAAATCCAGAGAAAATGTCACCAAGGTCGCCTCACCTGCTTGGAGAGTAGCTCCTTGCACAGAGTGTACAGAGTAATAAACTTTCGGGCTAAGGAACGTGCATCCACAAAGCCTTCTGCCACAAGCATGATTTCACAGATTAGCTCAATGTCAGGGGCTACCATGGCACAGGGTCTGAAAAGAAATATGACCTTCTTTTTTAAAAGGTGATAAAGTAATAAACACAAAGGGCTGGAATCAAGTGATGGATGTAAACCAACATACTAGTAACCACTCCCGGTCAGTTGCCACTAGTAGGGCCCTTGATCATGACTTTAAAAGGGCCTGCAGTTACAGGACACAGAGGAAACAACAGTCCCAGAGTGTCGGGTGACTGCACAGGGGTGAGAGATTAAGCTACATCTGTGGGTACATTTGGGAAATGTCTAGTGTGTGGGTCGCAGCTGTAAAGATGAACCTTGGTGGTTTCTGGTCAAACCCAGGACTCATCCGGGGCCTGCACTAGGCGGGCAAATCTTTAACAAATGACCGTCCAGAAAATTGTGCTTGCTGAGTGTGGTACCCACCATGTCTGACTGTAATCCCCCAAGATGACAGCACCAAGAGCGGAGCCCAAGTGTGCAACAACACACACTAGGGGACAGGCGGGGGGACCTGAGCTTCATGTGGACAGAGGAAATTAATTAGGAAGTGATTTGACTATATCACCCTGGTTTTTACTGTAATTTTTTTAATCAATAGTTAACATAGTTTAGTTTCCATAACTGAGCTCAATAATTACCTCGCAAAACTGCATAAAAACAGAACCAGGAGTCCTCTCGAGCTCTGAAAACCCACCTCTTTGTGGTGAGAGGCCAACAGGGTGAGTCTTAAATGAACAGTCTTAAATGAACAAAAATGTGACTTTCAAATTCCCTATCTTTTCAAGAGGGGACTTGCAGAAAATTCTCCCTGAGACAATTGCCATCAACAGCAAGAACGGAACAACTTCCACTCAATAAAAATCACATGCTAAGAAGGAGCCAGAGGAAGGTCAGGAATAAGTCCATTATCCTAGACTTTGTAAATGTTACATTCCAATTATATCTACCCCCTAGTTTTTATGTAGATAATGACCATCTACTTCACAGTTTCTTCCCAAATATTTCCCCAGAGTCCGTCAGGATTGATTAAGGGTTTCTGTCTAAGCTGGCCTCACACTTTCCTCACACTTTTCACTCTTTTTCACAAGCTAAAACTTAAGATCAAGTATAACAGGAGAAAAATGTAGCACATTTACTTGATATTTATAGTAACAGACAACGAGTATTGACAGAGCACTGTCTTCATTCCATGTGGGATACTAAAAGCTTACGGTGCAGCTTCTCCCTTAATTTTCACTGAGCTCTCCAGGAGGTGGCTGCTATTCCTGTCTGTATGTTCTCAGGAGCAGATCTCTGCTCTAGGAAGTACAGTACATACTTGTCAGTGGTGGTCAGTGAGGATCAGTTTACCACGCTGCCTCCACTCAGGAAGATGACTTTTATCATCCAAATTACCCGTCAGACTTTGCATCCCAACATAAACAATGCTGCACTTAGCTAAACCAAATTTATGAAAGCTTGACAGAACAATCTTTGTGCTCAGAAGTCACAAAAAGCTGATGGGTGAGATGGGGGCTTTGCTTTGAAGCGGTACACGAAATCTTAAAGGGGGCAGGGAATGTTCTGAGCTTTGATGGTAGTAAAATTGTTACAAAGTGTAAACTGACCAGGTGCATTTCATTATACACAATGGTACCTAAACAAAAGTGACTGACTTAAAATATGACTTTATGCAAATGGTTCAGAAGGGAAAGCTCAGGTTCTTTGCCAACACATGTATTTTTGGACAGTAGGGCATCAATAAGTGTTTTGATCATTCATCGGACAATTCTACATTTAGGGAAATAGTCCGAGACAAGGTAGCTTTCCATGAGAAAATAATTCATTTTTCACTTTTTTATAATAATAAAAAACTGAAATAGCAAAAATGCAAATTCTTTATGTCAGATAATAGGTGATCAATAAGAAAATTACAGGCAAGTGAAAGAGACTGATTTGGAGCTACCTAAAATATTTAAAAAGCTTTTACAACAGCATGATAAACTACTTACATTAAAAGATAAAATGAGAGCTAAATAAAAATTACACTTAGCTTACTCTCTTAACACGAACTCCATGAAACAGTAATTATAAAAGAGACTAGAAAAACATACATAGCTATCATTTCTGAATTGTAATGCTACATGTTTTATTCTTTATTTTTTGTCTTTTCCAAATATTCTATAATGTGAAAAATTTAGGCTCCTACTAAAACTATCATTTCAAAGAACTAATATTAGTTAACCAAATTTAGCTTTTCTCGGGTGAAAACAAATCGTGTGACAGTGCAGACCACCAACATTAGGTGGCATGAGCGCTCCAGATGCTAAGCAACAAAGCATAACACTTGCCTGAAAAGAGCTTTCAGATTTTCCGGTAATTCGGTTCGACCAGCATATCCTGGGTTCATAGTAATAAATATTCCGACTGATGGCTTCAGTGTGATAGCTTCTCCAAGAAATACAAATCTACCATAAAAAGAATGTTGATGGGATTAAATGTGTTCATTGAATTTGAATGCTCACTGACAAATGCAAACCACTGCAAAATGCAAATGATTGTTAGGAAGCTGTTTATTTGGTGTAATTTGATAAAAATTCAGACGCATACATATTTTGAGTGCCTCAAAGTTGTTTATTAAAAATACGCCCCCATCCCCACAAAGGACTTACAAATATGGGACGCATTTGTTTACATTTCAGAAAGAAAAAAAAAATAAAAAGAAGACCTGACTCCTTTAACAGTCAATGAATGCTGCTATTGCTGTGGCTGCAATGTGGGCTGCAAGTGTATGTGGCCTGATGGGACTCTGGACAAACAGAGATGTCCACGCTGAGAAGGGGACTCCTTGTTCAGACTTTGTCTATTTGCTCACTCTTCTGCTACCCTTCCCTTCCTCTTATCCAACAAACATTTCCTGATTAACACTGAGAGGTGGATAAGCTTGTGGTTACAATGGTCAGTTGTGGAGTCAGACTGTGAGCACTGTAACACTTCAAAATTTTCCAAACCCTGACCAAAGAAAAACCAAATGGGGGCTGGCCAAGGAATAATATAATCATCTACCTTATTGGCTTAGATGAGGGTTTAAAGATAATGCGTGTACACACACACACACACACACACACACACCACACACACACAGAGAAAGAGAGAGAGAGAAATGGCAGAGTATGGTGAATACCTAAAATAAATTAGTTATGATTGTTGTTGTGATGATATGAAGGCAGTGGAAAGAAAAGATTTTCAGAAAGACTTTCAGATACCAAATTGATTCCAGAGCAAAAGGATGAGAAGGGGCAGGAGAAACCAAACAGAAAGATAAGTAGAAAGCAACTGTCAGCGTAGTATGAGGCTTCCTCTGATTGGCAAGCTTGCTAAATAAATTCTAGATAATGAAGAGAAGAGTGACTAGGTGCAATCAAGGTAAAACCAGGAACATCTTCAGTCCCCTAACTGTGAGTGAGGCAAGGCAGAGCTGACAGCAGGGACTGGAGAAGTGAACTGGGCAGCCAAGGAATCAGCAGCTTCCCTAGAACAGGAAGCAGGACCCGTAAGGCAGGGGCATGGATCTTGAGGGGTGAGAGCCATGAGATGCTGGAAGACTTTATGGTTGGGACATGGTCCTATCTCTAAAATGCACAAATCTACATAAAAATATAATAAAAGTCATGAAAGCATGAAATGTTACCAGGGAAAATGAAAATGTGAACACTCAGATGAAAAGGTACACCTGACCCCCCACACCCCCACATACACAGATGTAGAAAGAGGAGAAGATGGAGGGAGAAGTACGATGAAGAATTTCAGAATCCCTTGCATGAAACAGTTTATAGAACTCTCCATAAGGAAATCCTTAAAGGACATCTGGGTTACATAAAATAAAAGAATTCTCTATATCAAAAAGGAGGTGAACTAAAATAAGATTATTGAACCAAGGGACCAAAAGATGAAAGAACTTTGCTTTTTTAGCATGGCATCAGAATAAGGGCAGTTATGACATTGACATCTGGTGACAGGAAAGAGATATCCCAAATAATACGGAAAAAGGAGTTTTCTAGAAGGTGAAACATCCAAATGTAACCACAACAACTGGAAATTTGTATAGTAGATTCAGAGTTCTAAGGGGCTATATAATCTCTCCCTAACTGGAAAACAGAAGTTCCTATGGATAAGAGTGCGAAGCGAGCAATATACACATTCAAGGGAAGGTCAGACACTGCCAAGGCAATACAACTATGAAAAGTAAACCACATCTGCATACTTCCTGAATTAAGTCACTTAGGCCTGATGGCAGTTACAGTTAGTCTTTTGGAGTGTGGCATCATGTCGAAAAATGGTTGGCTTGGGCATAATTGAAATGCCTTTGAATCAAGTTACTAGAAGAATGTGAGGGAGTAATTTACTGAGATGGGACAAATAAAAGAGCAAAGATGGGGCCTCTGTTTACAGACTGGTCAGGCCTCAGACATCAGTGCAGTCTTGAGATGCCTCCTTGGGCAACAGTTTCAGGCAAGTAGGTGTGAGGGGGGAAATGTGGCCGGTGCATCAGGTAGTAAACAGCATACAGGGGTTGAAAGCTCTGTGTCTAGTTAGAATCACCGGAGACTGAGTACAGATAGAGAAGAACCCAGTGATTGAACCCTGTGACATCAAACACTAGCAATGAAAAGACCTTTAATATAGATGCAGCATGTAACACATGGTTGGCACTAAGTATGCTTTCCACGCACTCCTCAGAGCCCTTTAAGGAGTTGCTGGACGCTTCCTTTTGTCTTTATATAAGACAAAAGGAACAGGGAGCAACTGGGAGGGAGGGAAAGAGGGAGATTCCAGGGGACTAACCTAGAGTCTACAGGAAGAAAGCGTTAGAAGGGAGGGACCAACTTTATCAAATGCTGCTGGAAGGTGACAAGAGATGAAGCTGGAGATTTAGCATCAGAGGGTGATCATTAAAAATAAAAATATTAAAGTAATGTAACATGCCTTTCTTGTATTCAGTACTTAAAAACCCATATCATATGGGGGGAGGGATTCCTTAGAATAGCTTCAAATTTTAAAAAAATAATGATTCTTTAAATTCTTCTCTTGTTTGATCCATTTCACGAGTCAGAAAGAAAGAGAGGGCAATAGAGTCCTGAGGATAAAGCTCACTGCATTGTTCCATGTTACTCTTTCCATGTGTAGCAAGAGAAAAAATGTCACCCCGTTCACTCACTCACCTTTCTTTCCTGTTTCTGATGGCATCATGTATCATTTTCACCTGCACTGCTACCACGGACAGAACTTCCACAGAAATTCTATTGAACTCATCAAAGCAGCCCCAAGCTCCTGTCTGTACCAGTCCCTTATAGATGTTCCCTATGGACTAAAGGATGAAGGAGTCAGGCATCAAGGATGTAACAGACAGGGGTTTACAGCTATTATTGTGAGTCTTTTCATATCTGGAGAAACAATGTTAGAGTAGGGGATTTTATACCATTTGATAACTGGCTTACTTTGTAGTCCATTTGCTCAGAGCAGTTGAACACGTAGACCATCATGCCGAGGGCACGTCCAAGATCTTTGGTGGTTTCTGTTTTCCCAGTACCAGCTGGGCCAGCTGGAGCCCCACTCATAGTGAGATGAAGTGATTGGGTTAAAGTTACATAGCACCTTTGAGCAATAAAAAAAAATACACACTATTATTACAAGACCTCTGGGAAAAGGTACAACTTAATTCTTCATAAAAGTTCTAGAAGTTAAGGTTAAGAATGTGGTAGTATCAGAAAACAGTGTTATAAATATGATTTGTTTATGGTGAAGAGTCAGATTAAGAGAGCACTTGTATTTTTAGGTGGGAAGTATATAAAAATAACAGGGCAGAGTGCCTGGATGGTTCGGCGTGTGACTCTGAGCTGGGTGTCTCTGCAGTGTCTGCACATCCCAGTGCAGTCCTAGTGGCACTGCCTTAGGAGATCCCTAACCACAAGAAAATATGTGATCTCTGGAGCATCATTACCACATGTGTAACCTCCAGCAAACACAATAGCCAAAATGTACTCCAGCACCACAGGGAAAGTTTGTGAACCATGGCAAGCATGTAAGTACCACAACTGGGTTTGGTAGTAACCTAGCAAAACAGGAGAGGAAGAAGGGGGAAATATATATATTTATATATATATTTTTTTTTAAATAATAGAGAGGGGCTGCTGGAGGGAGAGAGCACAGGAGGTTAGGTGCTTGCCTTGCGTGCGGCTGATCCTGGTTCAAATCTCTGGCACCATTTCCCTTAGTACTGCTGGGTTCCTCTCCTGATCCTGAGCAAAGAGCCAGCAATATCCCTGAGCACTTATGCATGTGGTCCCAACCTCCACCCCTAAATAAATAATAAAGAGGAATGTACTGCTTTTCTGTTTTGGGGGCCACACCCAGCTGTGCGCAATGCTTACTCTTGGCTCTGCACTCAGGGGTCACTCCTGGTGAGGCTCGGGGGACCATATGGGGTGCTGCTGATTGGATCTGGGTTAGCCACATGTAAGGCAAGTGCCCTACCTGCTCTGGTTTAGGATTAGGTCCCAGAATGTACTGCTTTACTCATTTCATTTCCCCAGAGTGTGCTTAGATACAGATTTCTGCAATTTTGAGGCAACGACACTGTTTACTATGGCAGGCTACATCTCAAACTACAGTTTAGAAAAGGAAAAAACTGAAGTGAATTCCTGCATAATAAATGAATTAAATGCTCGCTTCATTAAACTACTACCTAATGAACACATGAAATGACGAGACATGCTAATATGTATATTTACATACAGAACAGGCAAATAATGCAGCTTATTTTAACATATAAGACAAATATAAATGATAATTTATTATATCAAAACGTATTTTAGAAATTTGTCCTATGTAACCATGGATATTTAGATTGTGACAATACTTCTTTTTGCAGGAAAGATTCAGGCTGAGGAGAATCAGTGATGGTCAGAACACTTGTAAATGATGGAAAACTTGTGCCTGGCTCCGTCAGTGCAGCATCTTCCCTAGCACGGGATACAGATGAGCAGCTCTCCCTCCCCAGCTTCACTTCGCCCTGACCCCACCTCTCCTCAGATCCAGGCCATCACAACAGTAGGACCATTCCTCTAGTGTTTCAGAAGTGTGCAGCCACCAATGCAGCCGCATGACACTTCCCTTCTTCATACCTCATGGGAGCACTCAAGAGTCCTTCAGTGAACCCAGGGCCTCTGGAGTAGCTTGACTGTCCCCAATCACATCGTGCTAATAATAACTTAATACTAGTTTCAAGTACCTACTCCCACAAAGATTCACTAAGGAAGCCATAGTAGTAATAAATCACAGACCCCCAAATTACAACTGGAGGAGAGGCAGGACCTATGGCACTGTAAGTCTCCCTGCAACCTTAACCTGAAATCCCAGATAACTAGACAGAAACAACAAAATTGTTTGGGATAGCTCTGGAAGGCAGAAAGCGAGCAACACTCAACTGACTCCCTCAGAGAACTCCCTGGTGGGGGCAGGATGGTGAATGAGAAAGACGCATCCTGAGACCACAACAGACAGAACGGGAAACAATGTGGAACTCCACCATGCTTCATGGAGATGCAACATTCTCAAGAACTTCGGAGCCATCTTCACAAACAGCACTGAAGGAACTTAAAGACAAAACAAAGTTCACAACTATGCATAATGACTACAGACCCAGATTGATGGAATCGAGTTGAGAATCCTGAGACATACCCTCAAGTGTATGATCAGTTAATTTTTGATAAAGAATCAAAAACATGATATGGAGCAAGGAAAGCCCCTTCAACAAGGGGTGTTGAAAAACTAGTCAGCTACATGCCAAAAATGAACTTAGAACAATTTCTAATGACATGCACAAAAGTCAAATCAAATGGGTTAAAGATCTTGATATCAGACCTGAGTCTGTAAGCATAAAGAGGAAAAGAATTCTTCATGACACTGAAGAGAAAGGCATCTACAAGGAAAAAATACCAATGACCAAATAAGTGGAAGCCAAGATAAACAAATGGGACTCTATTAAATTAAGAAGCTTCCGCCTCAAAGGATATGATCATCAGGATACAAAGATAACCTATGGGATCACTTGATCACTTTATAACTTGACATCCCATTACTCATCGATTTGCTCCATCGAGAGTGAATGGAAAATCAGGAACGAGATCGTTTCTCATAAACATTGTCTTCGTGATTCAGCTGTAGTCCAACCTTTCCACACTCATGGTCGGAGCCGGTCAGCATTTGTGCCACTTGGCTAATGTTTGGTTTAAATTAGAATGATGTCATCAGCAAAGCAGAGGTGGTGTAGTTGCCGACAATCTATCTCACTCCCATTCCTTCCAATTCCAGTCATCGCATGACGTTCTCGAGGGTGGCACTGAAGAGTTTTGGTGAAATGGTATCACCCTGCCGAACCTCTCTCTTGACATGGATGATCACTTCCTTGTAGAATGGTGAGATCTTGGTAGTGAATCCGTAATACAGCTCACGAAGGATCCTGATGTATTGAGTTTGAACGCCCTGTTTGGCTAGGGCTTCTAAGCCGCTTCCATCTCAACAGAATCAAATGTCTTCATTAAATCAATGAATAGAGCAGCATCTTGAACTCCTGAGAAAATTCAATGAGCTTGGTTATCATGTGGATATGGTTGATTGTGCTGAATCCTTTTTGGAACCCGTTTTGCTCACATGGTTGTCCTTCCTCTAGTGTTCTGTCAATCCTATTCAGGATGACTCCAGTGAACAGCTTTGTAGATGACAGACAACAGGGCAATAGTTGCCAATGTCATGTATGTCTCCCTTCTTGTACAGTAGTACAGTCCTGCTTGTTTTCCATTGGGACAGAACCTTGCATTCAGACAGGTAGTGTGTGAAGAGCCGAGCCAGTGTATTGATGAGAACTGATGGCAGGTTCTTCAGGTGTTCGGGTCTAACCTTGTTTGGGCTAGGTGCTGTTCACTTCTTTACCGACAAAATGGCATTTCAGATTTCAGAAGGGAGAATGTTGGGAATGACATACCCATCCTGTGGAATTTGGTATGTGGGCAGGTGGCCGTGGCCATCGAAGAGATCCGAGTAGAAGTCATGGATAATCTTCTCCATTGCCTTTCTGGAAGATGTGATAGATCCATCAGGACGTCAGAGGGCAGTCATCTTGGTCTTGTAGTTGGTGAAGGATAGGCGGGCATTGCGAATGCTTTTCCCAGCTTCTGCCCCATCTGTCAGCACTGCTGCTCTTCTATCTTTGAGGTCTTCCTTGATTGCTTCTCTACACTGCTTTGTGAACTGAGACGTTCACTGGCGGTTGCCTGAGGCTTGCACCAAGCCACGTTGTCAAATGAGCTCAAGAGTTTTCGAAGACAGGCATCTTTTTGTGGCTATCTCTCTCTCGGTGTTCCTCGCACAATCATGGAGGTGCTGGACCAGTTGATTGTATTCCTCATCTATATTGTTAATGACAGCATCATCCCATGTTGCTGCAATAGTGCCAAAGAGCTCCCAGTTGGTGATCGTTCTACAAGTTCTCTTCTTAAACTTTGCAGCCCTTTCTCCCCACTCCGTGAAGTAGAATTTTGCATAAAGGAGACAGTGGTCCTATCCCGTTTGGAATTTTGGGACAACCGTGACATGGGTCAGACAAAACTGTCAGTTGACTATGATGTGGTGAATTTCATTGTGGAACCCTCCACAGGGAGACTCCCATGTCCAACGTTTAGATTCGGCCTTCTGGAATTATGAGTTACCATGGATGGTCTTGGTCAACATGAGGAACTCAGATAGTATCTCACCCTGTTCTTTCCATTCTAGGCCATGGGTCCTGATGTGGAGTTCTTTAGCTGATCTTCTCAGTCCTATCTTGGCATTAAAATCACCAACAATGACCTTGTAGAAGGTGTGGTCTTCTTTATAGAACTTCTCCAGCTCCATGTAGAACTTCTCAATTTCTCCTTCATCATAATTGGATGTTGGTGCATAGACAACGAAGATAGAAACTTCCGGCAGTGAGCCACATCTATTCAAGTGTATTGTCTGATTCAGGTTGTTAGGCATTCGAATGAATCAATGTTTATGGCCAAGTTCGTGTTGACAAAGACACCGACACCACCAACACCTCTTTTGTTGCATGTTCTGAGGAACAGTTCTACTCCAGTGTCGAAAATGGCGTGATGTGATTGATGCCTTCTCTTGGTCAGACCAATGATGTCGTACTTTATCTTTCGTACTTGCACCATCAAATCCCCGATGGATGCATCTGATGTCAGCATACGTGCATTGAAAGTACAGTCATTTTTGCCCTTCTTCGTTTTGGCAGCCTAGTTCGGCCTTGAGATTTTATCAGCCTCTCCTTCCTCATCCTTCTTAATGCTGCTGTATTGGTGGGTCTTTCAGTGTCATGGAAATGAAACCCATTATACTTACTGGTTTTTCCACATCGAATAGGCCATGGATAGCTTGTCAGGCTCTGCCGTGTGAGCGGGATACTCTCGGTAGCTTGCCAGGCTCTCTGAGAGGGGTATAGGCTTTTAGAATGGCCTCTAATTACCCTTGCAGGTGTTCTCATGGTTCAAACCATATTTAAACTCCATCAAATATGGTGTGGTAATCTTGGAAGATGGGTATTAAGTGTCTTA